ATATTCGGAAATTTTGCATTTTAGTTACATTCACGACAAAAATATTAACCGACATTAACAAAGTGGTTTAGTGTTACTCTATTTTAAAGTTCAATTTCGTATATAGATTATTATAATAAAAACTAACTAGTCCGCTATCTTGGGTGTTCCGCCATGGTGGATTTAGAATGACGTCACACAGCTAACCATGCATTGTCATCCAAACTTAACGTATATACAAAATTTCAGCTAATGGATTGAAGATACCTGCTTCAAAATAGAGTTGCAAGATTCCACCCGAACAAACATAGTTACATTGCATGTTAAATAAAAGCTTGTAAAAAATAAATTTTCCGATAAAATATCTACATGGATAATTTGTTGAATTATTGAATCGTATTTTAAATTGCATAAAATTTTACAAAATGATCATCGAGCATAGTATTAGTGGACCAAATATCATGACACTTAAAAATTGGTTGTTTGATTTATATTCAATCAAAATTATAAGATCTCTAAGCTCGCCATATTTAAGCGCCTCAATAACGTGATTCTAAAGGTCATACCAAAGACAATTTTACATTTAATTAAATGTTTTATCGATGTTGAAGATGTATTTTGAGGTTAACTTTAATATCTATATATTTAATATTATCACAAATTAAACATTACGACCGTAAGCAAAATGCAAAAAGCAGCCTTTTAATAGAGATAATGTCACTTATAACGTACTTAGTTTAAAATGCCTTGTAATATGTACATGCAATAATAATAAGTTCTAATTTGAAGCTCGCCGACAGCTCCAAGTTACAATTTCTTTGTCTGTGTTCTTTTACAACGGGTAAGTAGCAAAGTTACCTCACAACACAAGAGGGGAATTGACTTTGTTTATTTTATAGTTGAATAAAGTTCAAAGTGGAAACTTAAATTGTGCCTTAGTGAGAAATCGGTCAGCCTCCAATTTCGTTTGGAAGTGTCTTGAATGACTCATTATTTATGATGTCACATTTTTCGGAAACCCGTAATAGGTACCTCCGTTGAATGTTCACTTAATCTCACGCACTGTAATAAACTATATACACGTATCATAAGATATTGTAAAAACGATACGATTGCTTAAACAGACAACCCCTTTCTGAGTTATAGTTGAACTAAATTATTGCAATAATGTTAAATATTTTGTTTTATTGGATGTTGTAACTGATTATTGATTATATTTACATTAAATTATTATATAATATACGTAGAGCAGTATGTCTATGTCGTAGCAATAAATTAAGCGTGGCAATAAGGTCTAGTGGATTCGCTTTTGTGTCTTTAAGTAATTAAGTAGTGATGTGTATAGAGTGAGTACCTACCCTACGTCCCCACTAGTCGACCTAACGCTGTACACTGCTTCACACAAGTACGTACACTAAGTTCAAATTCATGAAGCTTTTTCAAAATATATTCCGAATAATTTTATAACATAATGAAAGTTTAAAGTAGAAGGATTTAAATAAGTGTATTTGATATTTCATTAATGCTCGTGTCCTGTTCTTTTAGTGCAAATCTTTTACTTCAAACATATAGTAGATGAAGAGTACTATACTTTGGGGCTTGTTTCTTCTTGCTTTGAGTTATTAATTCTTCCTTGTGTACTATGATATGTCACAAACAAATTATTTAGCGTAAGATAAAGTGCCAAGACTCTCAAATCCTTTCCTAAGTGCAATTCCTTCTCAATTACTGTACCTATATGTATAAACACTTGTATAGCTCATTTCAGCGGACACTAATCAGGAACACCTTATAGATTTATAGAGCCGATGTTGTCTCGCTTAGCCAAATCAATTAACGACAGGATACTTTTATTATTTTAAAGTGTATAAGTTTTGATTTTAGTTATATTTTGTTAGGTGTCATAGGTTAAGTGTAAAAATTTAGTTCATAATACTTTTGTTATTAATTTGAAAGTGTTCGAGATAACAATACAATAAATCAAATAAGTTATTTTTAAAGTTTTATATTAAAAGTATCCTGAAAAGCAAAAGTGAGAGTATATTGTAAATTAATAAAACGCGTAATGTTTAACGGTAATAATGGATAAAGTTAACGATATTCTAAATTATGTTTTGTAGTGAATGTTTTTACTCTCGAAATTAGTTGGTAGTGGGTGGGTGGGGCTAGATTAACCGACGCTGATCGAGCGCAGCTTCGTGCGCAGATGTGGTTAGTCAGCAAGTTGTTGAGCTGGACTAGCGGGCGCGGGTCCGCAGAGCAGCGCCGGGCCGCGGGCCGCCGCCGGCGGGACAACGCCCGACGCACTTTATGACGAGTAGCGAGTGTATAAACTAAGAGACAAACTAATTATAGTATAAAATTGTTTACCAATCGCCCGCATTCCGGGCGTTAGACGAAAATATTATTTTTCTTAGATCACATTATATTGTAATAAAAAGTAAAGTATAGAAGTATGTGCGGTGCGACGGTCTCTCAGACCGGAGGCCTGTCCGTGCGCAACGGTCGAGATAAAAAGCAAATTAATATTTTTTTACGAGCGCTGACATATCCCTGCGGCCTCAGAGGCCCCGCACCTCTCCATATTTGTTATGTTTAAGAGGAAATATCTATTGTCTATTCCAAGGGTTGAATAACTACCAACACTTTTTTATATTACAATAATTATAGAAATTATTATTGAACGTTTCGTTTTTCTTACCCCAGGTTTCATGTTTTATCTGTGTCTATTTAGAATATTAGAAAAGGTAAAGGTACCAACATAATTTTAGTACCTAATCATATTAAATGTATGTATTCTGACAGCTATCCATTTAAACTGGTTATGGTAAGATTATAAACTAGCAAAAGAGGCCTTTTAAAAAACAATCAGAGCAGTGAATACAAAATACATGTTTAAAATAAAACATATTAGGTGTGAATAAAAACCACACCTGCCGTGCCGTGCCATTAGAATCGTTGCCGGTGAGCAGTGTGACCATATGTGGCAGGTTCCTGCCATTTTGGCAGGATTGGCCTCTTATTTCAGCCTCTGGCATGAGTGGTTGACGTTTTATAAAACCTGGCAGTATTTGGCAGTATTGGGGTATTAAAAATGGGTTTCATTATGGCAACTTAAAATGACGAAAATGGCAACCCAGGATACTACTAGATTATGTTTGTATTACATGCAATAAACAAATTTAAAAAATGTTGTGTATAAAGTTGATAATCTTAAGACTAATTAACACGAGTTGGTTAATATTTCAATCAGTCGTAAAAGAGAAGTACTTTAGTTTGGTATCGCATTAGATTTCATAGCGATAACATCTTGTTAATAATATTTCGTGAAAGATAGTAATTATAGGTTGCGGCGATGAAGCGAAAATATGAAAATGCGTATAGAGCGAAGAGGGAGCAAGATCTTTTACTTTCATCATGGATCTCCAAAGCTTAAAATGATCCAGACTGCAGCTGCAAATTGACACCCCGGCTGTTCGTTTCAAAGGAGCATGCCGCTACTAGTAAACATCAAAAAAATATGAGTGGATTCCACATCCGAAAAAATATTCTCTCTCTAATAAATTTAATTAAGACAAAAACACGAAACAGATTTATTTATAAACAAATATTTACTGTCTATCTTGTACGTTAAACATGGCATTGGTGAGCATGGCGATTGCATTGCATTCAAACCAATGAAAGATGTTTAATTTTAATTTAAAAAAATATAGCATTTATATGTGTATTTTTACTTTTCTTAGTTTCATACAATGGTATATAAAGTTGGCAGTATTTAGGCATTTTTCACTACAGACTGGCAGGTTTTTAGCCAAAGTGAGGTAGGATCTGTATTTTAAAGATGGGTCACTCTGCCGGTGAGACTCACTACGCAACTGCATTCTTTAGCCATTGTGATAATATTTGTAACCTAAAATATTAATTATATAAATTTAAAAAAAATATTTCGGCTTATAATATATACAGATATAATAGATACCACGAAAACGAGCGTGAAAACGAAGCCAACCGCAATTTACACCAGAGTTACAAAATATTGATGATCACTCTGCTAACTTTTTGTTCAATTTAGACTTGTCTAAAGCTCATACAATCGTGACACTGCCGTATTTGGTTTTGTCTTTGTGAAAGCATCGTGCTCACCGTACGACGTTCGACATCTATCATCTTCGTAAGGTCTGCTACAACAAATGAACAAAATAGCATATCTCTTCACCTGTAAATGTGGCCTGTTTCTCGTATAAGTTGCATAGTTGCAATTAAATGCAAATGAAAATTTAATAAATTAATAGCACATTGATTTCTCGTATTCGATTCTAAAATTCGCCCTCAGATACGACCCGACGCAATCCGTCAGTAGAGAACGGTCGTGTCGTAAGAGGTTTTCTGTGAAAAAAGCCAAGTTCTCATAGTCTCCCATAGATGGCGGTTAACCATCTCGTATATCCCAGGCGTCAAACACCCAGAACAGCAACAAGGTGCAGCGTCAAAAATGCGAGACTGGTAGGTATACTACGATGGCCAATTATATATAATAATTAAAGGGATTTTTCTGGTAGTGTGGCATCTTACAAGAACCAAGGAATGAGATGGGTGTAGAACATTACGCCGCCCCCACACGGCGGGTATCATGTCAATAATTCTAGTTAATAACTTTACTAGTATGGTTGTAGCACGAATGGGTCGGCTCGACCGGGGTAGAACCACGCTCTCACAGAATACCAGCGTAAAATGGCAGCTTGACACTGCTGTGTTTCGTATGTTGAGTGTACAGAACCGGACTCTTTTTACTGGAAAAGAGGTATTTCATCTTATTCCTCACGGGGACAACGCATCTGCATTTTGATTCGCAAACGAGGATAGATATATGCAGATGTTTATGGGCCACAGCAAACACTTACCATCAGGTGGACTGTATGCTCGTTTGTCACCCTATCCTATATAAAAAGATTAATGGTTTAAGTTAATGATTAAGGTTTGAAAGAAATAAGATTTATTAAAATATAACACGTTTATTAAATTCAGTTTCTAACGTGTTTCTTCTTTTTCTTCTTCTTGTTGGAGTGGGATTCTATTAAGTCGTCAATTTCTTTGCTGTCGTCGCCCAAGCGTTTCTCACCACTGAAATAAAAAAAAAACATTACGAACCCAATAATTAAAATGGCGGTTGGTACTGCGAACATAAAACGAAAAGAAAAAAACAGGGCGATTACAGCGGCGGATTTTCTTCACTATATTCTACATTTTAAACTAACCTCTACAATAAGAATTTATACTGTAATGTGGCAACATTTTATGAATTTAAAGGCTCTACCCGATAGCTGCGATAACGACGCATACACTTATACAAACTGCTGCGGTAATAACGACGCGTTAGAAGTAGAACGCTTGCGTTCTTGCGCCCTGCAATATTTCGAGATATTCTGTTCTTAGCACTTTTTAGCACACTGTATATAGTAGAGCCGTAATTAGACATAGACAAATGCACTGAGATGGTATGGTATGTATAGGTATATTGAAAACTAAAATAATAATACGTTCAGCGCGGAAATCCAACCCATGGCTCAGCCCAGCCTTTCAAGCAAGCAGAGTTATTAGTGTGAGAGAGGTTACTGAGCACATTGAAGATTGTTAAGTAAGAGATCGCCATCTATTAAAAGCTATTTTCCTAAGGCATCTCTTACGGTGCGTACATATTATATAACATAACATGTTATAAAACATATATAACATGTTTCAGTAATGTGGATACTGATTGTTATAAAATATGTTATATAACTCGAGAGTAATTTTCTCTAGTCTTAAAACTATGTTAACCCTGTATCTATGTTTTTTTTTCTTTTGGTATTTAAAAGTACAAGAGTTGCTGCAGCAGCTAGCAAAACGTCTTCTCGTGTCGACATTGTAAAAAGCACTGCAGAACAACAAACGACAATGTCATATAACATTGTTATATTGCATTGTTATTCTAATGTGTACAGTATTGTTATATGTTGCAATATTGAAAAACAATGTAACATAATGTGGACGTGTTATAAAACAAAAGTTACATAACATGTTACTTAATCTGTACGCACCCTTACGACACCTACTGCATGAGATGGGTATTGCTAGATATACATCACAAAATTATACTTTCGATAAAAAAAGTAAATACCAACTACAAAAACTAAAAAGAATAAAATAAGTTACACATATCACATAATAGCTTCTAAGCTGGTGCATCAAAGTTTTAGTCTACAGCCTAAAAATATTTCATTCTTATTTATTTATCTATTAGTTTGTGTACGCACGTCCTTTGATAGGAAAATGGAAAAAAGAACGTTGTACACACTTCTTCTAATTATAAGTTTACTTTACCTTTTTGTGTGACTTAGCATTATCACTTATCAGAAGCTCAAGGTAAACTAATTTCTAGTAGTTTATATATTCTACTTTTGTTTCTAAGAGCCACAATGAAAATATTAGTATTTTTTATTCAAGCTGCCTTCGACCACAAATGTTAGCTTCTGGTGAGTAAAGTATTGTTACAGCCTATAACTGTTCCACTGCAGGCCTGCTCTCATTTTTGAGAGGGTTTTATTTAGGGCGAGGAAGTATCCAAATATTTTTACTTAATTTCTCCGGATGGAGGTTTTTCCAGAATGTTTTCTTTCACCGAGCACGTGGTAAATAAGCACATAAAATTGCAATTAACAATTTTATTGATGTCGGCGGGGATCGAACACCGGTTGCTCGCGTACAACTGTGAAATATGTGACGGGTGCTTATCTCGCCTGAGCCACGTCGGCTTCGACGATGAGTGGTGACATTATATTGTGTTGTTAAGCCCTTTTTCAAATGATTGCGAGTGTAATACTCTTGTCTTGTCTTATCCGTGAAAAGTTATATATTTCACCTACGTATTAAACGACCCGAAACACATTAAAACATACATGTGTACACCACGCGAACGAATGGTCTACATTAATCATTTTTGGCATAGGGTGCTAATAAATTGCCCGGCGTTAACACATCGATTTATTGTTACATAAAATTTTCAAATTGTGCGATAATGTAATAATAGAGTGTAAAAGATTTACCTTTTAACTGAAACAATGTTCTTCTGCTTTGAGGTGGTTAACGCTTGATTCCAGTCTAGGTCGCTGCCTTTGATGCGGTACTGCGTCAGATCTTCACCCATCAGTCGGGACAGCTCTTTGCGTTGCTTGCGCTCCAACTCCTAAAATACGACGAAAATGAGAAAACCGTACATAATTTTCACTGTTGAGCACAGGCCTCTCACTTCTTAAAGCTTTTTATTTTATTTGGCTACACGAAATTTAGATTTTTCCCACACTTGGCTGTCGGGATTATTTTTGAGCTGTAATCATAAATCTGTTGCTGTTCATCTTCTGTTTCTTTTCCCTTTGTTCCCTTCTCTTTGTTAACAGTTGCTACACGCAATTACATGTGTCGAAGTTTCGGATGTCCACATTTTGATATATCTCCGAAATTCGAAGTCCGGAAGCCCGATTGTACTGTTTTTTTTAAATGTATTATGATATTTTTAATGTCGTGTGAGTGCGTATATACGTTCCTCTATCAGTGAGTTCACGTATTTCGACAACAAATTATATTATCGACTTCAAACATATTTAATTCGACACGTATTTGCATAATTGTTGATGAAGTTTTCTTCTGTAGTTTTGAACAAAAAAAAATCGAACTTACACTAGAGACCTAATGAAAAGTTGGTAGAGAGGGTAGATTGAATCGCTTCAACGCCCATAAACTATTTCAATCTGTTGTGACTAGATTCTATAATATTCAGTTTAGTAGGTACTGTAATATCGAGGTTTTTTATTTCTCAATAGAAATCATACAAATGTACCGTACAGTTGGACGTTATCTATTCCATAGACATAGACAAAATAAGAATAAAACCACCCTTAAAGCTACATTAACAATTTAATGTTGGTGTTGCTGACACAATCTCAATTTTACATAAATGAAATGGTTATGCATTTACATCTAATATGCCGTGTGGCGTAAAAGAAATTACTGCCCCATATCATTCTTAGCGTGTCGCAAGAGGCGACAGAGGTAAACTGCAACAGAAGATGGGCAGCAGCATCTTTCTAATAATAAATACCTCAAAAATAATAAACTGTGTTACTTCACAAGCGTGGCAACTTGACAAATATCTCCAATGTTAATCAATATACCAGTCACATAGCCTTATGAGGCAGTCTATGGGGATGCTTAGGTTTATCAGTGGACTTTTAATGGGTTGTAATGAATGAAATTCATAGCAATTCAATCAATCGCAAGAAGGATAATAATATTGAGGTAAAATCCTTTATTTTCCATTCGTATCAAATAGAAGAACCGACAGCTTTAACCGTACACATTTCAAGAAATAAAAAATCTTTTAGAAAAACTCATTTATTACTAAACTTCCAAACCACTACGCCAAATATTACAAAACAAAAAAGTACCTTCGCAGCTTTGGACAACTCTGCATTTAGACTCTGCTTCACCGGGCCGTCCATGTTCACGTCAGCGGTTTTATCTTCTATTCCGATCTCTTTGGCTACAGTATCTTCTAGAACGGAGTTGACAGCATTGTTTATTTTCTTACATGCTTCGTAGAATTTAGCGAGGATTTGTGAACCGGGGAGGCCTAATTCAGCGGCTACGTCGTCGACATCTTTCATTTGGAAGCCCATCGCCACGAATATCACCTGAAAAGAGTTTTTGTTATATTTTCAACAACGAGAAAAACTATTAAAGCATGTAATAAGAAATGTTTTGTTTCAATTTAGAATAATTCGCCCACGGCGATATAAATAATCGCGGTAGTTCCAATAGTATTTCGATATATCTCGCAATAGCGACTGTCGCTTAAGTAGAGCAAAGTGAGGCGGGCGTCGCTTATCGCCGCAAACGCAGTTTTGTGGTACGAGGCTCGCAGCCTTTGCCAAGTGCGAGGCCGACGCGGCCGCCATTTGTCAGCAAATTTTAGGAAACCTGCTTTTTATTAACGATCGCCGAATAGACTGAAGTAGATAAAGATGCGTCAATCTTTAGGTGCTTTCTTTACATTTATTATGCGGTATACATAATTGATATTTTAAATGCTTTTCTTACTTAATTATTATAAAAAAACTAACAAACATGACTGTAAGAGATAGTTGGTTGTTATCAGAAATAAATTGTAAAAACTCAGACCTGTTGCACGGCATCGAGTTTGACCGGAACTCGAGTGTGGAATAGCAGGTGAGCCAGCGGGGTGATGAGGTCAGTGATGAGTCGGTAGTCAGCCTGTTGGCGGCAGTACGCTTCCAAACGTCCTAGATCGTGACTTGACACTTGTTCCGAAATCAGCTGCTTTGTCAATACTGAAATAAAACTTCATTTCTGAACTCAATTTGACTATGGTCTACTTTTGTACGACAATGACAGTCTATAGACGATGAGTAACAACACCCATGTCCTACACTTGCTGAGCTGCCAACAGTCAAACTCTAGTGAAGAATATGGATTCTAACATGGACTTTTTATACATCTAAAGGTGATAAACAAGCACAAATTTCACCTGATGGTAAAATGATGTGGCACATAGACACCTTCGATTAAAACCAATATGCAGATGGTTCTGATGCATTTATCAAATCCGAGATTTACAACCTTAGTACTTTCCTAGCCTAGTGACCAGTACAAACTATCTTTGTGACTTGTTACTCACCTTAAGAAACACAGTAACATTATGCTGCTATCCAATCGAGCCAAACCATTAGTGTCATAGCTATAATACGAGTATAGCTGCAGTGTTGCTATACCAAGGCAAAAACCTCTTTTAGGGCGAAAAGTGCAAAGTTGCCGCGCCACGAAAAAATTGAAGAATAGTACTATACTAAATTCAAATATCACAACCAATCTGAGAATGGACTTAAAATATTAACGAAGACGATAACTCAAGGTCATATCGAGTATTTTACTTACCAGGCTTATCGATCTTAATGTTATCATTAAGAAGAGTACTGAGGGCGAGCAAAGCAGGCAATCGTCTTAGACTTCGTGATAACAATCTCGACAGACGTTTTCTGAAATCTGCACTATACGCCGCGAGCCACGCACTTTCCGAAAGCGACCGTAGCATTATACACGAATGCTCGCCAGTTAGCTCGTTCGCCTTTTGACTGTGTGATTTGAAAAATATATACAATTTAATAAAATAGCGAAGGCGTAGAAACTGCTAAAGTGGCGTTCTAATTTTCTAGAAAGTTTTAGAGTGTGTACAATTTTCTAGGAAATACTTACAAAAATAACCTAATTTTTTTAAATAAAATTGTACTGACTAAGTACAATTTTATTGTACTAGTATTGTAAGTGGCTACTGCAACCAAATTCAAACAATGGCTTCAGATGCGTTGTCACCTGTGAGGACTAAGATGGAATACCTCACAGCCTTAATTATACTGGCTTTTTGTCTATCTTCTGACCGGGTGTTACCTCACTTGAGATATTCCTAGGCAGAAAGGGAAACTTACCACCTTCACTGTTTTAATGTTATATTGATAACAATTTTAAGTGCTAAAGTACCCAGTGTTTAGAAGTGAAGCAAAGTAGTTTAAGGTAACACTAACAAACAAATTTGGTAGGCTAACTGGAGCAGCCTACGTTAATCTTTTTGAGAACGTGCCATTGCACGTTTAAAAACTGATGCTTGAAATACATATTTCTATCATAATGTTACCGTGTAGTGGCGGTGTAAGAATATCCACTATCCCATATCGTCCCGTGGGTGATGTAAGTGGCGACAGAGGGAAACAAACTAGCAACAATGGGCAGCATCGTCTTCCTAATAACGACTATAAAATAAAAAACTGCGGTTGCCCACCCGCTTGCTAAGTATAGCAATTATGGCAAAAATCACCTTATGAGGTACTCTATGGGGAGGCCTATGTTCAGCAGTGGACTTTTTATAAGGTGTAACAAACAATGACGATCAAAATATACTTATTATATTTTTAAAACTGAGTCTTAACTAATGGCCGATTAGTTAAGACTCAGTTCTCACTCAAAAAATATACTGTAAGACTTTTTTACCGTCTTGGAAAAAAATATACCCTAGTACCAGGCACCTGTCATATATGTAGGTGAACAGTGTAGAAGCCTGTGGCAGTGATGTTTGTGTATAGTGTATAGTGACAATTATTTTTTCATTAACATATATGAAATTGATCTATCAATAAATACTACTAATTTGAAGTAGATATGAGCGCCGCGCCGGCGCGCCGTCGTCGCCGTGAGTTCCTGTGGGCGCGTCGCGCCGTCGCGACGACAACCAACTTCCTATCTCCCTCACACGCGCGGCCCGACCGCATTAGTTTGCCTTGTCGCCTCGCCACGTTCGTCGCTCACTCAGTCGACTCGAATATTTCACCGAGTGAACGTGTATTGTTGTGTGGTGTTATCAATGCCAGCAACTTCGACTGTTGCACGTATAGGCCGGCTCAAGCCGGGATGGTAACGGAATTAAATGTAATACTATATCAGAAGGGTACCAGCACCCCGGTAATGGAGAATCCTTTTCCGCTCAAGACAATAACTGCTCGGGGCAAGCTGAGCAACAAGGCCAAGGCGAGCCCTGCCACGTGACTTTCTGTAATATCTGGAACTTCACTCGAACCTAAACGCCGTCTACTAACATCTCGAGACGGCGAAGCTGGCCTTGCTATTTCTGACCGAGATGCAGGTGTCCTCTCCGGCTGATACTTCGTAACTCTCCTACCCCGGGGTACAAATTGGAATACTCCTTGTGCCTCGGGCTCGAGTTTGCGAACACATCAGAGAGGACATCTGTTCTCGACGCCTCGGCAGTCTTGAAGAACCTGTCCATCCTTTGGCTACACGTAGACAGCGAGGACCATCCGCATGTTCACGGGTGCCTCTATAGGTCCCACAGCGGTAATGTTGAAACAGACCGATTCACATCCAAATGGGTAGCCATATGATGGGATGGGATCTGCTGTAGCAAGGAATCTCTACAGATTCCTTGCTACAGCAGATCCCATCCGCAGAGATTGTGACCCTCAGCGATTGTAACGCTCACCACGCCGAATGGCTCGGTTCATGTTTAATCGATCATGCGGGGAGATCTGTTCATGATTTTGCCTTGACATATGGTCTGACACAACTGGTAACTTCGTCTACGCGGATTCCAGATGTGGAAGATCACGCACCTTCCCTGTTGGACCTTCTGCTGACCTCTCATTCAGATATATCAGGTCTCCGTCCACTCCCCTCTTGGCTCCTCAAATCATTGTCTAGTCCGAAGTGTGGTGCCACTCACACTAACATCGTGATTGCATTCTGCACGCTGACTAAAAAGGCGACCGCTCAGACCCGTCTAGCTATGCTTATCGCCATCACCTAGTTCTCCAAAATAATGGAATCCATTATTAAACTGCCAGCTCATGCGGTATCTTGACGACCACCAGCTAATTAGTGACCACCATTACGGTTTTCGTCGCGGTCAGTCAGATGGTGATCTTCTGGTCTACCTGACTCATAGATGGGCGGAGGCAGTAGAGTCCAAGAGAGGCATTGGCCGTTAGTTTGGCCATTGCGAAGGCCTTCGATCGGGTTTGGCACAAAGCGCTTCTTTCGAAGCTCCCTTTCTATGGGCTTCCCGAAAAATTGTGCATTTGAATCAGCTTTCTTGCAGATAGGAGTATCTCCTCAGTTTCAAGGCACTCCCCTTGTTGCCGCAGCCAGTATCGGAATCCTCGGCGTCTACATATCGAGTGACGTGCAAGTTTCGTGATCACTTGGAAGAAAAGGCCAAATTGGCCTCTAAAACGCTTTGCGTGCTCAGCAGAGCGGGACAGTATTTCATACCAGCACACCGCCTGCAACTTTACAAGGCGCAGGTTCAGCCTCACATGGAATACTGTTCCCATCACTGGGCTGGGGCTTCCCAGGGCTTTATAAGCTGTTTTTGGTATCAAAAATATCGCTTTCTTTAAGTTTTTAAAAAAAATATCTTCCTGATAAAACAATATCTAAGGCCCACGGCCGGCCACGCTGCGCCGCCGCGACGCCGCTGCCGCCGAGGAAATTTCCAGGCCACACCGCCGCCGTAGAATTGGCCTTCGGCGCTCATATCTAATTTGAAGTAAACTTTCCATACTAAAAAAAAAAACAAAAATTTTGAAATAAATACATCAATTAAAACCTATCGAAATTCAAATCATACGCACTTACTTTATGAGCCGCAATAAAATCAATGAATTTTTAACGCGATACTATCTTTCACAGGTCACAGGGTCGCAGGCGCATGCGCATGTGCCACTCGCGCTCTCATTTCGGTCACCTGCGATTAGCTACGGTGTGACGTCGTATTGTTTATGTTTACGCGTGTGTATCAACCGCCTGCTTATCATCATCATCATCATTACAGCCTTTCATAAGTCCACTGCTGAACATAGGCCTCCCCCAAGGAATGCCACAAAACACGGTCCTTAGCCACGTGCATCCATCGACGTCTTACCAGGTCGTCACTCCATTTCGCCCTACACTTCGCCTACCAGTACGAGGCTGCCACTCGAGAACCTTTCTTCCCCATCGGTTGTCGGTTCTTCAAGCTATATGGCCGGTCCATTGCCACTTCAGCTGACTAATCCGTTGGGCTATGTCGGTTACTCTGGTTCTACCGCGGATATCCTAATGTCTAAGTTTATAACGCAGAGAAACCGCAAGCATAGCCTTCTCCATAGCTCGCTGAGCGACCTTGAGCTTCCTCATACGGCCAGCAGTGAAGGACCACGTCTCAGATCCGTAAGTCATCACTGGCAACACGCACTGGTTGTACAATTTCGTTTTCAGGTTTTGAGGTATACCTGACGAGAAGATGTGTCGTAGTTTCCCGAACGCTGCCCAGCCGAGTTGAATCCGTCGATTGACCTCTCGGTCGAAGTTGGACTTACCTAATCGGACTATTTGTCCCAGGTAAACATACTCGTCAACAACTTCGAGCTTAATGCTCCCAACAACCACCGGCATAGGTGTGACATGGACGTTAAACATGATTTTTGTTTTGTCCATGTTCATCTTAAGACCTATCTGTTGGGAGACACTATTGAGGTCATTGAGCATAGTACTTAGATCCTCCAGCGATTCTGCCATAAGGACTATATCGTCGACAAATCGAAGGTGAGTGATGTACTCGCCATTGATGTTAATACCGTATCCTTTCCAGTCCAGCAGTTTGAAAACGTCTTCCAATGCAGCGGTGAAGAGTTTCGGGGATATAACGTCACCCTGTCTTACACCTCTCTGCAGTTGGATAGGTTTCGTACTCTGATTCTGTACTCGGATAGCCATCGTAGCTCTACTGTACAAACACTTCAGCACTTCGATATACCGACAGTCAACTTGGCACCGCTAAAGGGACTGCAGTACCGCCCAAATTTCGACGAAATCAAAGGCTTTCTCATAGTCCACATACACAAGGCAAAGAGGTAGATTGTACTCTTCGGTCTTCTGTACAATTTGCCGAAGGGTATGTATGTGGTCTATGGTACTAAAGCATTTTCGGAAACCGGCTTGTTCGGGAGGCTGGAAGTCGTCAAGTCTGCGTGCGAGACGATTCGTAATGACTATCGAAAACAGCACGTAGACGCGGCTCAGAAGGGAAATCGGTCTGTAGTTCTTCAAGAGAGCGTTGAAAGCTTTTTTGAAGAACAAGACCACCGCACTTCTGCTCCACGCCTACGCCACGAGTAGTGCCACCATGGAGGACGGAATTAAAGATCTTCTGAAGGACTTCAAGCACCGGTTTTCCACCCACTTTAAAAACTCCGCTGTAATTCCAACCTCGCCCGGGGGCTTGCCATTTTTAAGGTGCTGGAGATCCATTCTAATCTCGCTCAGACTGACATCCGGGATATCTTCGGAATAGTGTCGGATAAGACTCGCTCTTGGATCGTTACTCACACTTGCGTGTGGCTCCAACGATGACGTGTACAGCTGCCCATAGAACCTCTCAATCTCACACAAAATCTCAGGCGTCCCGGAAACGATGCTGCCACACTCGGTCTTCAGCTTTGACAGTTGGCTCTTTCTGGCCGACAGATCTCTGGCAAAGACTTTGGAGCCTTGGTTCCGCTCAGGCATTAGGCAATTGGATCGATTTGAATGTATGTCGCAGCCAAATAAAAAATAAAACGTATTAATAAACGCCTATAAATCATGTAATGTATCAGATTTTTACGTTCTACAATACGGCTGACAATGCTGAATTTTGTCGTTTTTGTCGTTAAGATAGTGGACCTAACTAGTCGTTCTGTAATCAGCTGTTTTAGTCAACGTATCGTAACGTCATTCCGGCTGAACGTCAGTAATCTGCATTCGAAAACGTCGTCGTATCAAAAAACTGTAGCGTACATGTAGCTAGGTCTTATTGAATACGCCTGATTCTAAAAATGTTGGCTGCAACGATGTGTCGGCCGCCCCGACTTGGCCGTCTGGCGCCCTACATAACGATTATGAATGCCTAACGAAAGAAATGTGCATGAGTCTCGCTCGCGCTTACAACTTTCGTTCACTAATGCCGGGTTTCCGCGCTTGCCAAGTCTCGGCAAGCATCCACAAGCACAAGTGTGTAAAGAGGGCGTTTGGCTTGGCTTGCGTGAGCTTGTGGACGCTTGTCGCCGATCCGAGCAAGTGTCGGTTTTTGGACACAGATCAAAGGGCGCTTGCGGCAAGCGCTTGCAACGCATTCACACGTTGGTGAGCGTTTAGTAGAAATTGTAATTTCGCGACGAGCGCATGTTTAGTCCTTTGTTTCAAATGAGTGACTGGTCGAACGAAGAGAGTTTATCGGAATTTTACCAGACCGAATCGTCTATCTGGAACTCCAAAGACGTTAATCATAAAAATAAAAAGAAAGTTGCAAATGCTTGGAGTCGTCTTGCCGAGTTAACGGGAAAGCCAGTAATTTTAATTAAAAGCCAAAAATTCCTTGTTTTTGTATTACTTTGCTTGTATTTCAAATAAAAGTATGTTAAACCAAACGCAATAGTCGACACAAGTTCGGTGTCCGCCATGCTTGGATATACGTAGCACACTGACGCATTCACAAGCATGTAAACAACTTCAAACGCCAAACGAGATTTGTGGACGCTTAGGGCTTGAAGACGTTTGCCGAGGCTTGGCAAGCGTGGAAAGCCACTATAACGATCGTAGCCTACGCCGTTTAAAATAATATCACCTATTTTTAGTTTTACGCAAACACCGTAGGATGAATTGTTTTTATGTATTTGTTTGGATATTCGGAAATTTTGCATTTTAGTTACATTTTACAAGTACTTACGAGTATAGTTTCTATTCCACTTATACAAAACACCATATTATTTTTCACACGGTAAAGATAGTCACCTGTATATGGCCAGAACCTTTTACACAATTCTTTTGATTATATAAAATTCCGACTTCAAGTGTTTCTAATATTACTTCAAATTCAACCAAGCTAGAAAACGAAAATACCTATATGGAAAACTAAAATTAACAAGTCCAATAGCTAAACCTCATACCTTAAGTAAACCGGCACATATTTCTGTGATTTCCAAAATTTAAGCAACTCCTCCGTTAGACCAAAACTTGTGCCTAAGTAGTCCAGGTGTTCAGCCCTGACTTCTGTCAATCTTTTCAACAAAGTTGGTGGCTTCGTCCTGAAAATAACACTCAATATTAAATTTTTTATCAAATCCAATGTCAGATACAGATTCTCTGGCTGTAGTTGTGACGGATTTCTAGGAAATTTCGATTGAAAGCTATTACGCACAGGGACAATTACATGAGATGGCGTATATTTGTGTTATGTAAATGACTACCTTCAGTAGTAATTAGCAGTAGTAACGATACAATAAGAAAACGCGGTAGATAATAAATTTTCTCTTACTACTCACGCAAGCAATTTCCCTCTTTCACATTTCTCTATATTTTAAATAATGGATGTAGAATTTTAGTACATTTTACAGATATCTAAAAAAATTGAATACTGGGGTAGATAAAAAGGTTTGATTATTTTTTTTAATAAATGATAGCTATTTCATATAATAAGTTTTAGATTAGATAAATAGAAAGAGAAAGAAAGGGAGAGAGATAGAGAGATATGTTATGCATGGTGTTATGTTACATTATGATAAGGACAGAATGAACAGATAATTGGTTTTCACCTTGGCACAATGGTCTCAGTTTGCAACGTGTCTGCTTGTCCGTTTGCCTGCTCCTCGTCGTCCGACGCGTCTTCGTCCAGACACGGAATATCGCCAGAGTAGTACGCAGCTAGCTGCTGAAGTGCCCTCTTCCCATATCCCATCTAAATTAAACCATATTTCACACTTTAAAATGATTTCTCGGCTGTTTGTTGGCAGAAATGAGTGGCAGATTCAACAAGGTACGTCCTAGACCAAAGTTATATCGACGAAATCGGCGATATATTTAAGATAAGCTAAATTTAGAATATCCTTAACTGACTAGCACGTATGCTATAGATATATAGATGTAAAGCCTCCCCCTAATATCATAATCATAATAAATGATTTTGGCCCGACCGTATCGACGTGCGTAAGGCGTGCTTACCAACCGTTACAGGCTATTAAAGTCCACTGTTTAACATAGGCCTTTCTCATAGATTGCCTCATAGGAAGGATATTTGCTATAGCGTGGTAACGTTCAAACGCACGCGCAAGCGGGTTGGCAACCGCAGTTGTTTATATTATTACACTGCCACTACACGGTAACCAACTGCTTACCAACGGAGCAGTCCAATACCATGTTATAGGGGTGGGTGGGTGGAGTGGGAGGTTGGGTCACCTGGCTCCTGCACTTACCAGGCAAATCGCAGAAGGAAAGTTTCTACTGATATTCTGTGAGTCTAACTGTCCCATACTTCCACTATCTTATTGTACCGTGGGTGTCGTAAAAGGCGACAGTGTGAAGTAAACCAGATGGGCAGCAGCGTCTTCTAAAGAACAACTAAGAAATTAAAAACTGCAGTTACCAACCCACCTGTCAAGTGTCGAAAGTGTACAATTTTAAAGGAAGATAAGACGTGTGTGCGGATGAAATCGCAGGCACAGCCAGTAACATTATGATAAGCATTCAAAAAAAACTTGCCCGTTGATAAGACGGATGCGTGGCTATCCTCACTATCCTCGCTCCGGACAATTTAGGAAAATCCTTGTCACCGTACTGTTCGCAAATATTCCAAGGAATTAGATCACCGGCCGCTTTCCGTCCACGGCCCAGGCTATCTCGAACCGTCCTGAAAACAAATAATAGGTAAGTCATCCTGAGAAATAGTTACTGTTACGGCCCGCAGCTGCTCCTGCAAAGGTTCAATATCCAGGGCCCATGAGCGGAAGATTCAACGAGCAGCCGTAGGTTCGAGCCCGAGTGGCTATATGGAAGAATTTCCTATAACACTAAGCTATATGGGAGAATGCTAGAAACACATATTACGTACCAGTATTAGAAGCTAACTTCGCACCAAGGCTCGGTTAGGCCGTGATTGGGTGTAAGGTGAGTGGCAATTAGTGTTCAGTGATGTGTAAATGTCTGAGACCTTGAACACCTTAGGCGACCAGAAGCGGCCAAGTTCCAGGATGCCCCACAATGCTGCATCGCTCCAGCAGGCTCCACCGCTGGACCATTTCTTTCTTCCTTGTCACTATTTCAGTCTATTAGCTTCATTGTACATTTACCTAACTTAAACTCGCCTAATTCCACATTCATCGTAGAATCGAACACGTGATACCCGACACAGTAAGGACAGTAGTTCCAGTTCGACATTCAATGTCCCGGATTCACTTATCACAAAATTATAAATAGGGAATTAAAGCGATCTCTTAATGAGTCATACGATTCAGCGTTAAACACACAACTAAGTTCCTTAATTCGACACCAAAACACCACGTCGCGAAAAGATTCAAAATTCGCCTCGTTGACACGTAAACTAACAAGCCAACCAACACACAAAAAAAGGCACTTAACGCGACGGCACAATTATAATGACTTCCTGACGATCAACCGGGAGAAGCTCTCGAAGGAATGCGCAGTTCGAATACTAGACCGTATATCTACTCGATGTGCGCGTACACAATTCCGCATCCCCGAACAAGTTAAATATTGCAAAATTCACATGTCCACGTAACGAAGTAACACGCACTTAATCTAACTATCTGGACCCGAATACGGTCGCGTAAACTTCGGCCGCAATAAACGAGCTACGCGGGTTCCCCGCTTCGCGGCCAGTGGGCAACTCCCCCATCATCGCCCACGCGTCGAGCCACTGCAAGCCGCACACGGCCGCCCCACCTCGGCGCTTATCTCACCTACATACCATTGGGTGAGGCGCCAGCTCGAACGCAATTGGGTGGCGTTCAAACCTAACCAAATTTAGGCATAAACAGTTACAATATAATATAACAACAATATACAAATTTTATATATAATTATTAGAATCTATGTGAAGGCTCAGTACGAAAAAAACTTACTTATCAGAAATATTTCCCTCGAGGCACATTTGTATGACGCACAGCACTTCAGGCATTGAAGTGGACTTGGGCGGAGTTGGAGCCAAAAGGACAAACAGGCAATGCGCCGGCGCGTCTGCCAAAAGCTGAATATCATTTGGACTGTTCTGTGAAAGAAAGAAAAAGCAGTCTCTATAATTGTTTCCTACTGTTATTCACTTACATTGTTGTACATTTTATCATGGAAATCAAGACTGTAAGAAAAAATTTAAAATCATAAAAAAGAGTCCATTAAACTCATTTCGTTCGCGTACACACGACGGCTCCGTGGCGCAGTGGCTTAGCAATCAGTTGTTGCGCTGGGGGCCGCGGGTTCGAATCCCGCACGGAACAAGTATTTGTATGGCCTACAAATAATTGTTCCGGGTCTGGATGTTTGTCCTTGTGCAATTTATGTTTGTAAACTGCCTCCACGACACAGGAGAAAATCCTAGTGTGGGGGTAACGTTTTTTAATAAGAGAAAAAATAAAAATAAAAAAATTAATTTCGTCCTGTAGGTATCGTAAGAGGTGGTTATATGAAATGACAGAAAAATCTTCTGGCTTCAGAGAGACGATGATATATCCATCTCGTTGCCCCTGAAGTAAAATCCTTATATCGAGGATGGGAGCAGAATCAAAGGTACCTAGGTACATTTTCGAACCTGTGGTAAAAGTAAAAAATTACTTTCAATAAGTATTACATGTAATCTATATTGCATAAAAATTATTCTATTCTATTCTATTCTAATCATTCCTACAATGGAAGAAGTCCATGTCCACATTGGACTTTTAAAAGGCGATGATCGTATAACTGACCGTTAAATGTAGTGACGGTGTAAAAGTACCTACTACCAAATATTAGGATTATTACCTTTAGGAGGCCTTTGTTCAGCTGTGGACTTTCATAGGCTATGATGATGATGATAATCACATATAATTCAGTAGTTAATAAATACACAAGTTAGTAGTAGCATTACTAGTGTAAGTGCATCGGTTATGTCCTCGCCAAACGCCGACCCGTTTGCCTAGTGTAAAGAGTATGCCAGTTGGTGTATTCTTAAAAGCACTTACATGCAGCTGTTGAAAGTCTGATTAAAAAAAAATACATCACATACTGATAGCAAAATTGTTTTAAATTAAGGTGTTGAATATTCTTTTTTGGATTAGAAACTGTTTATCCTAGGTAGTGTTATAGGTTCTGAAGTGAGTAAGCAATCAGGGCAAGTTTTTGCTCACCAGATGTCGCTATTTCGGACTGATAAAGATTTTTGTCACACCATGCCATTTAATTGAGAAATAAATGTAAATGTTTATCAGGTTCTAGAGTATTATATTAATACACAAAACAAAGCCTAGCGGTTTTTTCTTTAATTTTTTGCACGTTTTTAACTATATTTATAATTTTTCTGCTTTTACATATAAATATTCGAATATCCACGTGGTAGAGCATGCATTTTACGTGGTAGAGCCATGCTGCAGCTATATTAGTAGTATAATGTCCTCCAGACCGAATTTCGGTCACGGCGGTCAGTCTCAACCGAGACTAGCCATCGGCGCAGGACAGGATTAAAGTGCCCAAGTGTATGCGCAAGCACAGGTGCACTCTCTATTCCCTCACTCTCATAGTCCGATGGGACGGTAAACCAACACGACCGGAGAGAGATCAGGCGCAGGACCAACAGCTTAACGTGCTTTCCGAGGCACGGGGGTAGACACCGCCAACTTCCTGACTCCGGGCAGCTACTGAGAATTTCTTGATAGAAAAACTCAATAACTGATTTTTTTTTGGCCCGACCCGGGATTCGAACCCGGGACCTCATAATCAGCAGTCGCACTACTACAACCACTAGACCAACGAGGCAGTCGTAGTCGTAGTACAATGAGGCGTAGTATAGTTGTAGCACGAATGGGTCGGCTCGACCGGGGAAGGACCACGCTCTCACAGAATACCAGCGTAAAATAGCAGCTTAACGCTGCTGTGTTTCGTATGGTGAGTATAGAGAACCGGAGACCCTTTTTACTGGAAAAGAGGCATTCCATCTTAGTCCTCAAGGGTGACAATGCATCTGCTATTTGATTTGCAAACGAGGATAGATGTAGATGTCTATGGGCCACAGCAACCACTTACCATCAGGTGGACTGTGTGCTCGTTTGTCACCCTATCTTATAAAAAAAAATCCATAGATTGGTTTATTCGTTTCTAATCTAATTAATATAAAAAATAACTAATATTTCAGAAGGAAACATTGACCTTTACATGTTTCTATTTATCATATTGACCTCCCCGCTACGAAATCTGTAAAATATTTCACCTCATCCAAAGTGGCGCCGCCTTGGTGGCAGAATAAGTCGAAGATGCCTTCATTACCAAGCTGTGGAGAGTTTTGTCAAATGTAGTACAATGAGGTACCTTGTAGTGACTGGCGACGTATATCGCGACGAGGCGGTGCAGGAAGGCCTCGGCGGCGCGGTGGTAGCAGAAGAGCGCGTCGCGGTTGACGCGCAGCAGCTCGCAGACGTAGTACAATGAGGCACCTTGTAGTGACTGGCGACGTATATCGCGACGGGGCGGTGCAGGAAGGCCTCGGCGGCGCGGTGGTAGCAGAAGAGCGCGTCGCGGTTGACGCGCAGCAGCTCGCAGACGTAGTACAATGAGGCACCTTGTAGTGACTGGCGACGTATATCGCGACGAGGCGGTGCAGGAAGGCCTCGGCGGCGCGGTGGTAGCAGAAGAGCGCGTCGCGGTTGACGCGCAGCAGCTCGCAGACGTAGTACAATGAGGCACCTTGTAGTGACTGGCGACGTATATCGCGACGAGGCGGTGCAGGAAGGCCTCGGCGGCGCGGTGGTAGCAGAAGAGCGCGTCGCGGTTGACGCGCAGCAGCTCGCAGACGTAGTACAATGAGGCACCTTGTAGTGACTGGCGACGTATATCGCGACGAGGCGGTGCAGGAAGGCCTCGGCGGCGCGGTGGTAGCAGAAGAGCGCGTCGCGGTTGACGCGCAGCAGCTCGCAGACGTAGTACAATGAGGCACCTTGTAGTGACTGGCGACGTATATCGCGACGAGGCGGTGCAGGAAGGCCTCGGCGGCGCGGTGGTAGCAGAAGAGCGCGTCGCGGTTGACGCGCAGCAGCTCGCAGACGTAGTACAATGAGGCACCTTGTAGTGACTGGCGACGTATATCGCGACGAGGCGGTGCAGGAAGGCCTCGGCGGCGCGGTGGTAGCAGAAGAGCGCGTCGCGGTTGACGCGCAGCAGCTCGCAGACGTAGTACAATGAGGCACCTTGTAGTGACTGGCGACGTATATCGCGACGAGGCGGTGCAGGAAGGCCTCGGCGGCGCGGTGGTAGCAGAAGAGCGCGTCGCGGTTGACGCGCAGCAGCTCGCAGACGTAGTACAATGAGGCACCTTGTAGTGACTGGCGACGTATATCGCGACGAGGCGGTGCAGGAAGGCCTCGGCGGCGCGGTGGTAGCAGAAGAGCGCGTCGCGGTTGACGCGCAGCAGCTCGCAGACGTAGTACAATGAGGCACCTTGTAGTGACTGGCGACGTATATCGCGACGAGGCGGTGCAGGAAGGCCTCGGCGGCGCGGTGGTAGCAGAAGAGCGCGTCGCGGTTGACGCGCAGCAGCTCGCAGACGTAGTACAATGAGGCACCTTGTAGTGACTGGCGACGTATATCGCGACGAGGCGGTGCAGGAAGGCCTCGGCGGCGCGGTGGTAGCAGAAGAGCGCGTCGCGGTTGACGCGCAGCAGCTCGCAGACGTAGTACAATGAGGCACCTTGTAGTGACTGGCGACGTATATCGCGACGAGGCGGTGCAGGAAGGCCTCGGCGGCGCGGTGGTAGCAGAAGAGCGCGTCGCGGTTGACGCGCAGCAGCTCGCAGACGTAGTACAATGAGGCACCTTGTAGTGACTGGCGACGTATATCGCGACGAGGCGGTGCAGGAAGGCCTCGGCGGCGCGGTGGTAGCAGAAGAGCGCGTCGCGGTTGACGCGCAGCAGCTCGCAGACGTAGTACAATGAGGCACCTTGTAGTGACTGGCGACGTATATCGCGACGAGGCGGTGCAGGAAGGCCTCGGCGGCGCGGTGGTAGCAGAAGAGCGCGTCGCGGTTGACGCGCAGCAGCTCGCAGACGTAGTACAATGAGGCACCTTGTAGTGACTGGCGACGTATATCGCGACGGGGCGGTGCAGGAAGGCCTCGGCGGCGCGGTGGTAGCAGAAGAGCGCGTCGCGGTTGACGCGCAGCAGCTCGCAGACGTAGTACAATGAGGCACCTTGTAGTGACTGGCGACGTATATCGCGACGAGGCGGTGCAGGAAGGCCTCGGCGGCGCGGTGGTAGCAGAAGAGCGCGTCGCGGTTGACGCGCAGCAGCTCGCAGACGTAGTACAATGAGGCACCTTGTAGTGACTGGCGACGTATATCGCGACGAGGCGGTGCAGGAAGGCCTCGGCGGCGCGGTGGTAGCAGAAGAGCGCGTCGCGGTTGACGCGCAGCAGCTCGCAGACGTAGTACAATGAGGCACCTTGTAGTGACTGGCGACGTATATCGCGACGAGGCGGTGCAGGAAGGCCTCGGCGGCGCGGTGGTAGCAGAAGAGCGCGTCGCGGTTGACGCGCAGCAGCTCGCAGACGTAGTACAATGAGGCACCTTGTAGTGACTGGCGACGTATATCGCGACGAGGCGGTGCAGGAAGGCCTCGGCGGCGCGGTGGTAGCAGAAGAGCGCGTCGCGGTTGACGCGCAGCAGCTCGCAGACGTAGTACAATGAGGCACCTTGTAGTGACTGGCGACGTATATCGCGACGAGGCGGTGCAGGAAGGCCTCGGCGGCGCGGTGGTAGCAGAAGAGCGCGTCGCGGTTGACGCGCAGCAGCTCGCAGACGTAGTACAATGAGGCACCTTGTAGTGACTGGCGACGTATATCGTGACGAGGCGGTGCAGGAAGGCCTCGGCGGCGCGGTGGTAGCAGAAGAGCGCGTCGCGGTTGACGCGCAGCAGCTCGCAGACGTAGTACAATGAGGCACCTTGTAGTGACTGGCGACGTATATCGCGACGAGGCGGTGCAGGAAGGCCTCGGCGGCGCGGTGGTAGCAGAAGAGCGCGTCGCGGTTGACGCGCAGCAGCTCGCAGACGTAGTACAATGAGGCACCTTGTAGTGACTGGCGACGTATATCGCGACGAGGCGGTGCAGGAAGGCCTCGGCGGCGCGGTGGTAGCAGAAGAGCGCGTCGCGGTTGACGCGCAGCAGCTCGCAGACGTAGTACAATGAGGCACCTTGTAGTGACTGGCGACGTATATCGCGACGAGGCGGTGCAGGAAGGCCTCGGCGGCGCGGTGGTAGCAGAAGAGCGCGTCGCGGTTGACGCGCAGCAGCTCGCAGACGTAGTACAATGAGGCACCTTGTAGTGACTGGCGACGTATATCGCGACGGGGCGGTGCAGGAAGGCCTCGGCGGCGCGGTGGTAGCAGAAGAGCGCGTCGCGGTTGACGCGCAGCAGCTCGCAGACGTAGTACAATGAGGCACCTTGTAGTGACTGGCGACGTATATCGCGACGAGGCGGTGCAGGAAGGCCTCGGCGGCGCGGTGGTAGCAGAAGAGCGCGTCGCGGTTGACGCGCAGCAGCTCGCAGACGTAGTACAATGAGGCACCTTGTAGTGACTGGCGACGTATATCGCGACGAGGCGGTGCAGGAAGGCCTCGGCGGCGCGGTGGTAGCAGAAGAGCGCGTCGCGGTTGACGCGCAGCAGCTCGCAGACGTAGTACAATGAGGCACCTTGTAGTGACTGGCGACGTATATCGCGACGAGGCGGTGCAGGAAGGCCTCGGCGGCGCGGTGGTAGCAGAAGAGCGCGTCGCGGTTGACGCGCAGCAGCTCGCAGACGTAGTACAATGAGGCACCTTGTAGTGACTGGCGACGTATATCGCGACGAGGCGGTGCAGGAAGGCCTCGGCGGCGCGGTGGTAGCAGAAGAGCGCGTCGCGGTTGACGCGCAGCAGCTCGCAGACGTAGTACAATGAGGCACCTTGTAGTGACTGGCGACGTATATCGCGACGAGGCGGTGCAGGAAGGCCTCGGCGGCGCGGTGGTAGCAGAAGAGCGCGTCGCGGTTGACGCGCAGCAGCTCGCAGACGTAGTACAATGAGGCACCTTGTAGTGACTGGCGACGTATATCGCGACGAGGCGGTGCAGGAAGGCCTCGGCGGCGCGGTGGTAGCAGAAGAGCGCGTCGCGGTTGACGCGCAGCAGCTCGCAGACGTAGTACAATGAGGCACCTTGTAGTGACTGGCGACGTATATCGCGACGAGGCGGTGCAGGAAGGCCTCGGCGGCGCGGTGGTAGCAGAAGAGCGCGTCGCGGTTGACGCGCAGCAGCTCGCAGACGTAGTACAATGAGGCACCTTGTAGTGACTGGCGACGTATATCGCGACGAGGCGGTGCAGGAAGGCCTCGGCGGCGCGGTGGTAGCAGAAGAGCGCGTCGCGGTTGACGCGCAGCAGCTCGCAGACGTAGTACAATGAGGCACCTTGTAGTGACTGGCGACGTATATCGCGACGAGGCGGTGCAGGAAGGCCTCGGCGGCGCGGTGGTAGCAGAAGAGCGCGTCGCGGTTGACGCGCAGCAGCTCGCAGACGTAGTACAATGAGGCACCTTGTAGTGACTGGCGACGTATATCGCGACGAGGCGGTGCAGGAAGGCCTCGGCGGCGCGGTGGTAGCAGAAGAGCGCGTCGCGGTTGACGCGCAGCAGCTCGCAGACGTAGTACAATGAGGCACCTTGTAGTGACTGGCGACGTATATCGCGACGAGGCGGTGCAGGAAGGCCTCGGCGGCGCGGTGGTAGCAGAAGAGCGCGTCGCGGTTGACGCGCAGCAGCTCGCAGACGTAGTACAATGAGGCACCTTGTAGTGACTGGCGACGTATATCGCGACGAGGCGGTGCAGGAAGGCCTCGGCGGCGCGGTGGTAGCAGAAGAGCGCGTCGCGGTTGACGCGCAGCAGCTCGCAGACGTAGTACAATGAGGCACCTTGTAGTGACTGGCGACGTATATCGCGACGAGGCGGTGCAGGAAGGCCTCGGCGGCGCGGTGGTAGCAGAAGAGCGCGTCGCGGTTGACGCGCAGCAGCTCGCAGACGTAGTACAATGAGGCACCTTGTAGTGACTGGCGACGTATATCGCGACGAGGCGGTGCAGGAAGGCCTCGGCGGCGCGGTGGTAGCAGAAGAGCGCGTCGCGGTTGACGCGCAGCAGCTCGCAGACGTAGTACAATGAGGCACCTTGTAGTGACTGGCGACGTATATCGCGACGAGGCGGTGCAGGAAGGCCTCGGCGGCGCGGTGGTAGCAGAAGAGCGCGTCGCGGTTGACGCGCAGCAGCTCGCAGACGTAGTACAATGAGGTACCTTGTAGTGACTGGCGACGTATATCGCGACGAGGCGGTGCAGGAAGGCCTCGGCGGCGCGGTGGTAGCAGAAGAGCGCGTCGCGGTTGACGCGCAGCAGCTCGCAGACGTAGTACAATGAGGCACCTTGTAGTGACTGGCGACGTATATCGCGACGAGGCGGTGCAGGAAGGCCTCGGCGGCGCGGTGGTAGCAGAAGAGCGCGTCGCGGTTGACGCGCAGCAGCTCGCAGACGTAGTACAATGAGGTACCTTGTAGTGACTGGCGACGTATATCGCGACGAGGCGGTGCAGGAAGGCCTCGGCGGCGCGGTGGTAGCAGAAGAGCGCGTCGCGGTTGACGCGCAGCAGCTCGCAGGCGGCGGGCGGCGGCGCGCCCGCGCCCAGCGCAGGGCTCGGCGCCTCCAGGCACAGCAGCGCGTTCAGCCAGCGCTCGATAGCGTCGCCGGCGCGGTACCTAATCGGCTCCTCCAATTTTATCTATAAAATTAAATTAAATAGGTATATCCTTTACATCCATTACAGCTATCAATCACTAATAAAAAACTAGATACACAATCAGTGACAAAAATGTCCTTACGGAATGAGCACCCACTCGAACATTGAGGTGCTTTGTGAATACAACTTTAGGCAATATATTTAAGGTTAAATTTACATTAATGTATATTGCATGCCTTAAGCGAAAAGCGAGTAGGTATCTTCTACTGGCGCCTAAAAATCAAGATTCCAACGTTTAGCGCATATAAAATCGTAAATAACAATCATATTGAACATATAAATGATTTAAAAAGCACATTGTCAGAAAGATAAATGATTTTTAAACTTAGTCGTATTTTTTTTAATCGATTAATTGTTATTTGTACATTAAAAAAGTCCGCATAGTGGTAAACACGAGAACTTTTGAAAATATCAATTGTTTAACTCAATCTATTTTTTAATCTCTTCATCTATTATGTTGGAAGCCATGGAATGTAAATGACAGTTTAATTTTCTTTTGTTTAGTTATTTTTTTTTTTCAGTGTAGAAAACCGGAAATTTTTGGTGATTTAGGAGCCTTATAATAATTTATTTTACTAAATAGACTGTCTCACTCACTTCGGCGTCAGCTGCCGTCGTGAGTGGATACTGTATCGGTCATTTGCAGCGGCTCAAAAAGATTGCTGTACAGATAAAAAATATTTGAAAATCTAAATTTCATACATACTTACTTGATTATTATAATAAAGATTTTTATATACATACTAAAAGTAAGTAGGTTGTATATATAGCGGGTGTTTGTGAAACGCTCCCGAAAACGAAGACAAATTCCTTCCGAAGACCATCCGCCCCGAACGGGTTCCCGCCTTGTCGTGGCGGGGGGGCTTAGTAGCCGTGGCTTGGTCACCCGCGGTGAACAAAGAGGAACCCCTTGGCTGGCCCGGGGTGTAGGGCCGGCCCGAGGTAGCCACTCCGAGTGGGCTTGGCGCGAGCCCACTTCGGATGTGTGTCGGTGGGCTGCTGCGGGAGGGGTGTCCTCACCCCCTACTGCTGCAGCCGAGGTGGAGTCGCGGAGGAAGAGGAGTGTTGGTATGGCGATGCGCCACTTGCCCTATTCTCTGCGACTTTAACGGGGCCGCACCGTTAAATGATGCGGTGGTGTTAGGGCTGCGGGGGGAGAGGAGTGTCGGTATTGCGAGGTGCCGCTCTCCCCACCCTCCGCAGCCGAATCTTGGTTGGCGGCGGAGCCATAGACCAGATCCGCCGCTGGGGTTAGGAAGGCTGGTGCTTCTGAGTGCCAGTTTTTCCTGGCCCCATGGTCTTCGCGCATCGGACACGGGGGCGTCCGTTGCGCATGTTAAATTGGAGGCCGAGAAGGAGGGCGCGCCTTGTGTTCTGGTGCGCCTTACCTGAGAAGGAGATGGGGGAGGAGTAGTGCTCTCCTGAGGAGAGGCTGCCATGGGGCGGCCAGCGCAGATGTGGCCGCGGATGTGTGCGAAAGCGTTCCCGTGGCCCTGCTAATATGCGACGAGGGTGGAACACCAAGGGGTTTTAGTCGGTGCGAGTCCGACATAACCTGCCCTTGCCCCCGCGAGGCGGGTATGCCATGTAAAAAAAAGGTACTACACCTTAAAACATGGGTCACAAATAAATTTGATCCCGAGGAAAAAAATCATCTTTTCACAACGTTTTATTAACTTTATTCACGCTCCATCATGTATATGTAATACAGCTAAATGAAACGATAATTTCATTAAAAAAAATCATGAAAATACTTAAACAAAAAACTAGCAGTGAAACTTAAAAAAAACATCAGCTGACAATAGGGTCCATATCCTCGCGGGCGCCGAACTCTTATAGGTCCCATCACGTAAAACCATCACTGGCCTTGAACCTGGGCACTGAGCGATTTATCGATCAAATTGGTGTTACGAAGTTTAATTTTTTAGTTTAATTTTTCATTTCTATTTTCTTATACAAAATCAAAGATAACGATGAAATAATATTTATAATTGTGTGAGTACTACGTTTATTAATTTTTATAGTAAAGAACTGCTTGTTGCGCCAGGGTATAATTGATTGTGTAATTGTATTAAAAATGACAACCATAATTTTTAAATTCCATATGAAGACTAGTCGTAGGGATAAAACTTATAAATTAAATAAACGTTGGCGATGTCTTAACATACATAACGCTTTAACGGTGTATGGAAGGTTCCAGTGCTTCAAGCACTTTACGTTGTGCGCATTTGTTTTAGCGGAATTGATTAATAATTTTAGTTTTTGAAACAGTTCCGTGTTGACTATCACAAGAGACAGTTCAATTGTTTTGTTTATTAAATTATTGTCGTTATTACTTGTAATAAAGTAATAAATAACTTAATGATATTATTCTTGTTGTTACGTTTTAAGTTTCTTGTTTTGTTTTTATAATGCTTAACGCGTACATTCATAGTGTTCGTGAATACGGCAACATGTTAATGTGGCTTGGAGAAGTTCGCGGGAATGCTTCGCATGCATTGCCAATTTACCGAGGGAAATTCCCGACCGCTCGACATCCAGCAGGAAAATCGGCCCATTGCTCTAGTAGCGGCAGGAGGTGGAAGTCAAGTGGCTGTTCACTCAGAGGAGCGCATTTTAGATGTCGTTCGCCAGAATCCGAACCTAGGTACACGAATTATCGCTAAATTGTTAAGGCATCGGGATGGAACAAGTGTGTTATACTGTACAGTTCACAAAGTGGTAAAGCGTAACTGAATGCGCCCATACAAAGTGTACAAAGTGCTAGCTTTAGTTACCGGCGATCACGACCGCCGGCGAGTTTTCTGCCGTTGATTATTAGACCAGCAACAACGTGTGCCTGGTTTCATTGAGCACGTCATCTGGACGGACGAGTCGACATTTACTAGAAACGGCCTCTGGAACCGATGAAATACACACGTGTATTCCGAGGTTAACCAGCACGTTGTTAGACAAACCGGGCACCCAACCCAATGGTCGGTTAACGTATGGGCAGGTTTATTTAAGGATCGCATACTAGGACCAGTGTTTCTGCCACAGCGACTTAACGGACAGCGATACCTGAACTTCATAAATGAACAGTTGGTTGACATTTTAGACGACCTATCGTTGGCTGAATATCGCCGCACATGGTTCCAGCATGATGATGCACCTCCACATGTTGTGAGGTTCGCCCGTAAGCGCCTCAACGAGCTATTTGATGATCGCTGGATCGGCAGACTAGGACCACACGCTTGGCCACCTCGCTCATCAGATCTGACCCCGTTAGACTTCTTTCTATGGGGGTATGTGAACGAAAGGGTTTTTAATCGTGAGTGTGATAGTGCTGAAGAAATACGCCAAAGGATTGTGAATGTTTTCGACAAACTACGTATGGACTGTGTCGAAGACCATACGATGATGCCCCGCCTGCATGAGGAGACGCAACACCGAGCCCAAATCTGCCTCGAAATGAATGGAGCACATTTTGAGCCGCATCTCATAAGACCACGGAGGATTTAGAGCGGTAATAGTACTGAACTGATCTGAATAGGTACATAACTGAATACATCAGAATAATAAACATACCTACACGATGAATAAAAACGTATGACTCTAACCTTGGTTACATTTCATTTAAGTATTTTTTCATTAGCGGGAAATCGAACCAGTTATTTAGGTTATTTAACCTGTGAATTCGAATTAAAGTAGCTACGTGGAGACAAGCACAGTGGCAAAATAGTAGGTTAAGTAGATAAGTTAGGTATTTAGACAAGTGTTGTAATTTATTAGATATTGTTATGGCCCGCTGCGGGCCGCGCGAATTTGGCGTTCGCGCGTACATTGACCACTAGTCAGATTGTAATTCAGTAATTCCACTGCTAGTTTTATGTTTAAGTATTTTCATGATTTTTTATGAAATTATCGTTTCATTTAGCTGTACTAACATGATAGAGAATGAATAAAGCTAATAAAACTTTGTGATAACTTGATTTTTTTTCATCAGGATCGAATTTATATCACCCATCATTAAAGGTATAGTTGGTACTGTCGTCTGTCTTCGTTCTCGGGAGCGTTTCAAAAATACCCTGTATAAGTATACTTAAATACGTCTTGGACTTTATGGAGTGACCTGGATAATGATATCATGATCATATGAGCATTATGAGTCGTGCACTTTTGGATTTTCCAAACTTTTTTTAATAGAAGTTAGACACAAAATTATTGGAAAATTGGAAGTATAGTAATAAGGTTATTAGTGAAAATTTGTGTGTATTTAAACTACTTTAAAAATTTACGTATAATCATATTATACGTAATTTTTTAATGCTCTTAGGGCATGCACAATTAGATTTACCAATAGTTTTTTTATTTCAACTAGAATTACGTCAAAACAATTGGCGACAATTTTTAGAGAACTTTTGCATGGGATTGTATATCTAGTTTTTTATTAGTACTCAATAATTACAGCCTATAAAAGTTCATTGCTGATCGTAGGCCATCTCATAGATTGTCTTATAGTAATCAGCCACCGCAGTCTACTTCACATTATGATAACTCGTGTAGAAGCAAAACACGTGTCAACGGTGTGCCTTTCCTAATGTAGTGGTGTTGGAAGTAGTGATGCTAAGGTTAGTGGTGATGGGTATAGTGCACGCAATTGAGAGAGGAAAGAAGGTGCTCTTCAAACTAGGTAAGACACATAATTTTATTTTACTACGCGAATCTTAGATAATTATCTTTTTTTTAACATTTTTAATTCATATATCCTATATTGATATAGGTACATAACTTGGCAGGCAGGTTATCAACCGCAGCTTTTAATTATACTAAGTTGTTATAAGAAAGATGCTGGATGCTCGTCTCCTGTTTTAGTTATCCTATGTCACCTCTTACGACACCCACGGGACGATATAGGGTTTTTTTATAGGAGCGATTTTTCGTCTTTTTGCTCGTTTGCCCCCTGCAAACGAGCAAAACGACGAAAAATCGCTGGTGGTAGTCGGTTCCACAATGAAGTTGTGCGAGGAAGAAAACTTCTTCTAAATCGCACAGTGGTGGATCGCCAATCATCCAGACGGTATGAAAGGTATCGCGAGTTTTGTCGCGATGTGCGATGGTGAAATTGAGCGGCTGGAATTAGTCCGAACAATTCCTCAGAGCACTCCCCGTAATAGATGCGATAAAATACGCAAAGAGATGCAACATCTCTACGCAGTACCAGTGAGTCAAGCCAATCGGAAAGATCTCGGTCGTCGACGATTCGTACCGCTCTACGCTGGATGCGGTCAAATGGAAGGAACTGGCACTGGGGAGCCCCTGCCCAGTGGTGGGAACAGTATTCCATGTTAGGCCGAACCAGCGCCTTGTAAAGTAGCAAGTGGTGTGCCGGCATGAAATACTGTCCCGCTCTGCTGAACACGCCAAGCTTTTTAGATTTTAGCTTTTTTTTTCTCTTCCAAGTGACCACGAAACAGCGCGTCACTCGATATGTCGACACCGAGGATTCCGATACTGGTTGAGGCAACAAGGGGAGTGCCTTGAAACTGAGGAGATACAACAATGGGTTCTTTATAGCGGTAAACGCGCAAACTTGTGTCTTCTGGGGATTGAACTGGACTAGATTTAGTCGCCCACAGTCTGAGACTTTGTCCAACAAAGTCTCGACTTCAGACACAAGTTTGTTCCGGTACTCAGCGACGTTTTCCCGAGAAATATTGGCACGGCCGGTGTATAAAGCATCACCAGTGCTGTCGTCTGCATAGCAATGAATGTTACCGGTTTGCAACATATCATTGATATGCCGAAGAAACAGCGTTGGTGATAGCACGCAGCCTTGTGGAACACCAGCGATAATAGGCTTGTAATCGGAGCATGCACCGTCTACTACAACCTTGATGCTCCAATCTGCAAGAAAACTGGTTATCCAATTGCACAATTTCTAGGGAAGCCCATAGGAAGGGAGCTTCGAGAGAAGCGCTTTGTTCCAAGCCCGATTGAAGGCCTTCGCTATGTCCAAACTAACGGCCAACACCTCCCCCTAGGACTCCACTGCCTCCGCCCATCTATGAGTTAGATAACCTAGAAGATCAACTGACCGATCTCGACAGAACCCGTACTGGCGATCAGTAATCAACTGGTGATCCTCAAGGTACCGCATGACCTGGTAGTTAATAATAATTTCCATTACTTTGAAGAACAAGGAGGTGATAGCAATTGGCCTGTAGTTGGACGGATCTGACCGGTCACCTTATTTAGGGATCGGGTGCTCCAAAGCTGTCTTACTTGAGTTCGGGACTACACCTAGGGAGTAGGAATACCGGACGCATTATAACCGGGGCCAACTCTGGAGCACACGTCTTCAGCACAATAGGTGGGACTCCATCGGGCCCATCCACTCGACTTGTTGACGTCCAGGGAGAGGAGTGCTTTACGCACCGACCGCTGTATAAACAGCACTTCCTGCATTGAGCACTCACACCGCGGGATGGTCGGCGGTGTGTTCCCCCGTCATCTAGAGACGAGTTGGAAGCAAAGAGAGCCTAACAGATCGGCTTTCTTCTTTGCGTCGTGGGCCAGTGACTCGCCACCCTGTGCAGAGATGGCAGAGATGGCTGACAGAAGTTCCCTTGGACAGCCTTGGCGACAGACCAGAATGCACGTGTTCCCGAAGGGAGGCGAACTAGTTCCTCGCCAATTCTGCCGATGTGCTCTCACTTTGCTTTTGCAATTACACTTTTGAAGGACCTGGATGCGGAATTATACTTCAATTTAAGAGCGCTGGTGTTTATATCCCGGGACGTTGATGCGTCAGTCCAGGCCCGGTAGCACTCCTGCTTATAGCGTGATGCAATTTAACAGGAGTGACCAACCCATGGCTGAGTTCTGCCTTGCAAGCAACTTGGGTTTGCTTCTCGCCGAATTTGCGCCCCGAACTTGGGGGCAACAAGCCCCCAATGGTAGGATGCCAAAAAAAACCACATCCCATCCCAATCGGGCGACCTATAGTGCCAAACACGGTGGCAAGCTGCAGATCGCAACTGCGATGGGAGCGTGAGCGGCACTGTACTCCGGATCAGATAATGATCCGAAGAGCCAAGAGGGGCATCGACAGAGACCTGATATCCGTCATAGGTCAGCAGAAGGTCCAACAGGGAAGGTACGTGATACTCCACATCTAGGATCCGCGTAGGCGAAGTAACCACTTGTGTCAGACCATATGCCAAAGCAAAGTCATAAACAGATCTACCCGCATGATCGGTTAAACGGGAACCAAGTCATGCAGCGTGGTGGGCGTTAAAACCACCGAGCATCACGATCTCTGCGGATGGGACCTGCTGTAGCACGGAGTCTGTAGCCATTTGGACGTGATCGATGAGTCTGTCTGTGTCGTCATTACCGCTATGGGACCTATAGAGGCACCCGTAGACGAGGGTCGCTGTCTACGCGCAGCCATAGGATGGACAGGTCCCGTACCTTGAAGACAGCCGAGGCGTCGAAAAGAGATGTCTGGCGTACACACAAACTGCAGCTCGGTGCACAAAGGAGTGTTCTAATTTGTACCCCGGGTCTATCGAACTGAGACACCTGTGTCAGAGAAAGAGCATGGCCGGCTTTGCTGTCTCCAGATGGTAGTGGACGGCGTTAAGGTTTTGTCTTATTGCTCTGCTTGCCCAGAGCAGGTTTCGTCGTGAGCGGAATTTCACCCCCTCCCCCCCCCCCCCCCCCCACCCAGTATACGCGAGGCAGCCTGAGCACTAACGCTCAAAAAATGTAGGGTAGCTTGGGCGCAGATCCTCAGCGAGGGTTGAAAAATTATTATTCTTATTTCACTAGATGGTAGAATTCCTCTTCTGCTTAGGAGTCAGTCTGGGTACGTACCACCCCATTACTTATTTCTTACGCTGAAAAGCATGCTGTGTTTCGTATGGCGAGTGTAGACCGGAGACTATTTTTACTGGAAACGAGGCATTCCATCTTAGTCCTCACGTGTGACAATGCATCTGCATTTTGATTTGTAATCGAGGATAAGTGTAGATGTCTATGGGCCGCAGCAACCACTTACCATCAAGTGGACTGTGTGCTCGTTTGTTCACCTTATACTATAAAAAAACTAAACGTAAATACTTGGAGCACTTCAGTACATATTTACAAGTATGACGTATGTGGCAGCCATTACATTCTTCGACCGGGACATGACATACCAAAACCTACCTACACACTGTGATCTCACTCAAAAAATATACAAAGATAGATCATCAAGTTCTCTTAGATATATTTTCATTTATCTAATTTATTTATAAGTTTCATCAACAAGGCTAATGTTACACTTTAAAAGAGAAAAAAAGCTTTTATAATATTGAATTTAATTCAAGATAACACGAATTTATGAATATAACATAAAATTAAAACATGAGTGTATTCATTTCCTACCGCCAAAATCATTAGATTTAAAAAATATAAACCGACTTTGATACAAATCTTTGATCACAAATGAATAATCGTAATAATTTAAACAATTCCTTACCGGAGGCGGAGCGTTGTGGTCTGTCTGTAACTGAGCGAAGAGTTTGAGTGACAGAGCACGGCCTGTGCCCTCGTATCCCGAAACCGTGGACGAGAGAAATGCGAGTGGCGCCTTCTGTGCTGCGGCCGACACGTGAGCGATAGGAATGGCCGCCGCCTCGTCCACTAGCACGAGGTCCGCAGCCGCAAGCAACGAATGATCGTCTGGGGTGATGTACTGTTGAGAAAATCAACAATTATCAACAAATTATCGGATAATAAAAAAAACAGACTAAATTATCATCGGATTTGGTTAAAATTTATATAAGACTACTGCAAAGGTTTATTTTTACATACTTTTAAAACAATGTCCAACAGATTTCCAGCCACGGCAGCCGGTCTCAACGGAGACTAGTCTTCTGTGCAGAATAGGATTATAGTGAACGTATATGTGCGCAAACACAGGTGCACTCTCTATTCCCTCACTCTCATAGACCGATGGGACAGCAATCCGACACGACCGAAGAGAGACCAGGGAGAGATAAGGCGCAGGACCAACTGCTTTTAAGTACTTTCCGAGGCACGGGGGTGATACACCGTCAACTTTCTGACTCAAAGTCGACCTCAGTTGCACTAAGAATTTATAGAAGATCACCAGATGATTTTTTTGGTCCCATCCGGTAATTAAACCCGGGAGTACCTTATGATCAACAATTGTGTTTACAACCAATAGACTAAGGAGGCAGTCAAGACAACATTAAAATACAGACGAGTTGAGAACCTCCTCCATATTCTTCACCATTGAAAACTTTCAATTATAACTTAATTTACTCAGCATTTTTATTAACAATCGCACAATTGTGGTGACTTGGACAGCGATCTAACAGACTTACGAGTATATTACTTAACAGACTTAAAAAACATTAAATTTCAAAAGCATAGATAATATATTACGTCTAAAGACGAATGTATAAAGTTTCTTTTCCCGTGGTAATTAGATGTAGTTACGCAAGAGGATCGGACCGATAATTGGGTGAAAATGAGTTACGTATGTTAAATTAATCTTTAGGATCTAGCCTCTATCTATAAAAAATTATATATCTTTTGGCTTCCTAAGGTTCACAGCCGTTTCAGTAACAAGTAATAATTAATTTTATAACAAAAAATAAGCACCACTTACTTGCACAGTCTGCCGAGAGTTCCTCGCAATATTAACTCGGACAATGGCCTTCTTGAAATCGGGATTAGTCGACCTCACAATGTTGTAATCAATGTGTTCCTGATACAAGCACGCGTCTAGCCCTTTCAGCACAAACTCGAATAGTGTGATAAGGTTCTCTGGGTGTGGCGAGGTGACGTATATGTTGACGTAGCCCAAAGCTACAGCCGCCGCTACAGCCAAGCCAAGGCAAGCGGATTTACCGCGCCCCCTCGCGGCCGTGAGGCAGTGTGGAGGTCTGGAAATAATATTAACGTTAGACATTGTTATTCGTCGGAATTAATCATACTATGCAGGGTCTTGTTTATAGCAAATACTGTACATATTTTTATTGTTTTTATAGGCTCCAAATATCAAAGTCCAAATAAATATGAGTAGTTATGCAAATTGTCTAATTACGAACCAGTTTTTGTGAGACGTCATAATATAATACAATAATAACAATAAACCCGTAGGACGCCTTATGGCGAGCTGTAAGTAAGTAGCGTCACTAAGGATCATACCAGAATCCTTCAGAGGAGTTTTAAAATTCCCCACCCCTAGCTTGCTCTAGTCGGTCGGACGTCGGAGTGCATTAGGAATTTTTACGTGGTAGAGCCATGCTGTAGCTATGTTAATAGTATAGTTGTAGCACGAATGGGTCGGCTCGATAGGGAAAGGACCACGCTCTTACAGAATACCAGCGTAAAATAGCAGCTTAATGCTGCTGTGTTTCGTATGGTGAGTGTAGAGAACCGGAGACCCTTTTTACTGGAAAAGAGGCATTCTATTTTAGTCCTCACGGCTGACAACACACCTGCATTTTAATTCGCTAACGAAGATAGATACAAATGTCTATGGGCCACAGCAACTAATTACCATCAGGTGGACTGCGTGCTCGTTTGTTGCCCTATCCTATAAAAAAAAAAACTTTATGCCACAGGGGTGGAGGTGTCAAATGCCATAACACTAATAGAATGGCAACAGTAAAAGGATCCGCAGCCCGTAGATTCACCTATAGATATATATATATATATATATATATATATATATATATATATATATATATATATATATATATATATATATATATATATATAGATATATAGATATTTTTACGCTGTTTGCATCAATGTTGCGCCTCACAGTCAGTTACGACTGCAGTTCGAGATGCCCATTTAGTAAAGTAAGTAAGGTTAATTGAGTCCAAGGCCGTGGATGCAAGGAAATTAGATGTTCTTGCAAAGGTGTGGCAATATTTCACGTCGAGACAGTTGCTTACACTATATAAAGCGCAAGTCCAGTCGTGCATGGAGTGTTATTGACATATACGGACTGGTGCTGCAAAATTTCACTGAGCGGCTTGGGACTCAATGGAAAGGCGTACTAAGAGTTTAGTGGGTAATGGTTCGAACCATCTTAGTAGCCTCGGGCACAAACGCAAAGCAGCACAGCCTTGTGCGCAGGAATTGCATAACTCTCCCTCTCCTTTCCACGACCAGACGCTCAGCTTGTAGTAGCTTTCCACCACTTTGTTATCGACATACCACGCATTTGAACGAAACGGTTTGCTTCGTCGTACACAGTAAAGGAGTGGAATAAATTTCCAGCATCTGTCTTTACATCAGATCATAATGTGAGTGGGTGTCTTCAAGGCAAGTGGGCGTTAGTAAAGCTGTGAGACCCGACTCAATAAATTAATTACTTATTGAGCCGCGTCTCATTCAATAGCCCATCATCCCATTCCATCGAGCATCCCGACCCCAAAGCCCACCATTTTAGATGCTTTTCCCTTTTGTCATCTAAAGTTTGTGTATTATATTCTCGGACTTTTCTTCGGAAGCATTTTTAATATGAGTTGGGGAAGAGTATCAGAATATACACAATATTAAATTCTTCAAAATGTAACATATTGTAAGAAATTTCCGTGCAGTATTAATTTATTCTAAGACAAACTAATTAATTGCAATAAATATATTTAAAAAAAATACCTTGACTGTTTATCTGCTAGCGTATTTATAAGCGCAACTAGTGCTGTCGCCTGGTCGTAGGTGCGACAGAGAGCAACCAATGGTCCCGCAGGTGGTGAATCCGAAAGAGAAGTTATCAATTCCGTTAGCTTGGGGTTTATACGCTGAAAGAAATAAATTAAAGAGAATTATTGAAAGTACTTAGTGATGGTATAAGATTATGCACTACCCAATATCGTCCCGTGAATTGCGCCACTCACAAGACGATGACTAGGCTACAGAGGAGAAACATACCAGGAAATAGGCAGCAGCATCAGCCTAATAACCACAAAAAAAAAATCAGGCGGATTGGCAACCGCAGTTTCGCCCATCTCTTGTTTCATGTACCTCTGTCGCCTCATACGACACCCACACAAATAATAGTACATGTAGCTACACGGAAAAATAATGTATGTAAATATATTTAAAAATACCAAACTAGTCACTTCTTAGCATGTGGTAGAGCCATTCTGCAGCTAGATTAGTAGTATAGTTGTAGCACGAATGGGTCGGCCAGACCGAGGAAGGTACACGCTCTCACAGAATACCAAAATAGCAGCATAACACTGCTGTGTTTCGTATGGTGAGTGTGAGGAACCGGAGACCCTTTTTACTGGAAATGAGGCATTCCATCTTAGTCCTCACGGGTGACAACGCATCTGTATTTTGATCCGCAAACGAGGATAGATGTAGATGTCTATGTGCCACAGCAACCACTTACCATCAGGTGGACTGTGTGTTCGTTTGTCACACTATCCTATAAAAAATGCATATAACACTCAATAAGTGTAATCACACAAATGTATAGAAGACATACATACCTCTGGTACAACATCCACTGGCTCCACTTGTGCTGTCTTCGATGAAATTGGCAATACAGTGAGAGAGTCATCCAACACCAGGCAACGAGGATTGTCGGCGAGAGATAACAAGAAACGCTCATTGAACCGATTGACCACCGTGTCATATGCCTCTGTTTTAAATCTAAAAAAGTAAATGCCTGAATATTTGCCAGGACAATTTATGCCTAAACTAATTTTTTACTCTATTCAGTCTTATTCACAGTCGTTTATAATTTGTCTCTGGTTTAAATTAGGCTGTTTCAATAAAAAAGTTTCACGGAAAATATGCGAACTAAAAGGAGTTGTGTATCGCCAGCAACGTAAAGTCAAAGCGAAAAAGCCAAAATTAGGGGCTAATTAGGTGCCAAGTTTAAAAATTAGGTACACTAAAATTTTCACATACTGAACTGAATTTCAACTGTTGAAATTTGCGTTGCTGGCAAAACGTATCGCTAGCAACGCAGTGACGATAATAGATAATATACGATAAATATTAATATCAAGGAAAAGAGCAGCCCCTTCGCCCTCGCGTTGCAAATCACGGGCACGCTCCGCAGCTCATCCAGATGGTATGGGTGGTATCTCGAGTTCTATCGCGATGTGCGATGGTGAAATTTAGCGGCTGGAATCAGTCCGTGAGCCTCTAATATAAGGTTAATGCCATTAAGATATTAATTTTTATATTTTTGTCTGTTTGTCTGACTGTCCGGGCCAATCTTCAAAACGACTGAACCGATTGTACTGAAACTTCACGAACAGATGGATTGCAATACCAGGAATAATCTGGGCTATATTTTATTCCAAAAAACTTGGAGATATTTTTTTGAAAAAACGAAAAACTAATAAAATAAATGGTCTTTGATTATCTTAAATTTAAATAATGCCACATTAAAAGTAGTTAGTTTGTACAAATATGTTATTAGATTTGAAGATGATTTTTATGTAAATATTAGTTATTTAACTTCAGTTGGATTTTTTTAATTATCTTTTCATGAACTGAGAACACTAAAATATTACAAATGGATGATACTTAATTATATTTAAAATATTACCTGGAGTGGACATCCATAGTGATAGAATGCAATTGCCTCAGTGAATCCATTGTTTTAAGTAGAAAGATAATTAGCCCTCCACCTTCTACTGTTTCTATTGTCCGGGCCATCAAGTTCGGCGTAAGAGCTTCAAAATCCTGAGGGAGTAAATACGTATTATAATAACTAATGGAATCTACACGATATATTACTTAACAAAAGTTGTTTATCACATTGATAACCACTGGCTTAATGATCTGCATACTAAGTCTTAGTTTATAAAAGTTTGTTTCTCGGGAATCCTTTTAACAACTTCCCAAAAAAGTGAAGAATATTCATCATAAGAAATTTTTAATAGAGAAAACGTGTATCAATTACTGGTAGATAAAAGATGCTGTACAATAGATTTTATTTGTTACCACTCTCATAAGCATAAAAAAAATTATATAACTGCCACTCGGCATTTAATTAGTGTGGTGTACATATTATAATGTATTTTTGTTATAGGATATGGTGACAAACGAGCACACAGTCCACCTAATGGTAAGTGGGTGCTGTGGCCCATAGACATCTACATTTATCCTCGTTTGCGAATCAAAATGCAGATGCGTTGTCACCCGTGAGGACTAAGATGGAATGCCTCTTTTGCAGTAAAAAGGTCTCCGGTTCTCTACACTCACCATACGAAACACAACAGTGTTAAGCTGCTATTTTACGCTGGTATTCTGTGAGAGCATGGTCCTTCCCCGGTTGAGCCGACCCATTCGTGCTACAACTATACTACTAATATAGCTGCAGCATGGTTCTACCACGTATATATATATATGCTATATGGGACATTGATACTGTGAAAACATTAAGACGACAAGTAATTTTTAGAGTTTATTGGTTATAAAATATGTACCTACATTCAGACAGATAAAATATTTCTTGAAAAAACTATTACTAGCCTATACAATAAAAATGAAACATCATTAAACACTTAAGACGGGAGGGACACCATATTGCCAATGGCATCCATGTCATTGGATGTATTTCACGTACATCTCGTCACTGAATCATTTACGTAAATCGTAAATAGAGTAGGGCACAAAGAGTTTTAAAACTCTATTCTAGATCTTGGCAGTTTGACAGTGCCAATATAAATAACTATAGCACCAGTCATGTGGGATTTCTAGGATACCTTCTCCCTCCTTACATTCAAATAAGAAACATATTTTATCTACGGCGTAGTTCAGCTTCCATAAAAGAAAATAATTAGTGACAGAATCAAAAGCTCTGGCTAAATCCGCCGAGTATAAAAAGCAACATTTACTTTATTCCAAGATGGGAGTAATGAAATGCATCCAAGCATATTCTGTTGATACAGCTTCACATAAATCTGAATTGATTTATTTCAGTTAGATTTCTTATTCTTAAAACCCGAAAAATTGATAATCTCGAGAAATTAGACAATCTCAATCAAAAATTTCGAATTGTATGAATTACTTTAAAAAAAATTGTCATCAGATATTGCCTGAAATTCATATGGCAGTACACTGTGAATGAAAGCTCTGTCGAGAAATAACAAAATCAGCTAAATAAATAAACAAATGGAGGACAAAAATTAATTAAAAAAAAATTTAAACATTCTGTCATATTTATCTCTTAAATTCAAAATGTGTGGTAATACATTATTTTAACTGATTTTCATTCATAAAAATCTAACGCCTACTATTTTACTATGCACGAACACATTCGTAAGGGTCGATTGGTCGGCAAAAACGTTGTGAATCGAATCGCACATCATATCAATGTAATGTTGCAAACCGGTAAATTCATTGATATGCGGATGACAGCACTGGTGATGCTCTATACACTGGCCGTGCCAATATTTCTCGGGAAAACATTGCCGAGTACTGGAACAAACTTGTGTCTGAAGTCGAGTCTTTGCTGAACAAAGTCTCGGATTGGGGGCAACTAAATCTAGTCCAGTTTAATCCTCAGAAGACACAAGTTTGCGTGTTTACCGCTAAAAAACCTCCTTTATCGTATCTCTTTAGTTTCAAGGCACTCCTCGTGTTGCCTCAGCCAGTATCGGAATCCTCAACATAGACATGCGCATGTTCGGCCTCACATGGAATACTGTTTGATAGCCTTCTTTGTGGAAATCTGTTAAAACATGCAAAATCAGAGTAATGGAAAGTACTTGCCTGCAATACACACACACCATACGTCTGACCAAGCATGGCATGACTCTCGGAGTAATATCTTCCATGAATAGTTGTGGCCACCCTGAATGCATCAAACAATGACTCTTCTGATACTTCTAGTTTTCCTGCTGCAATTTTCTTTGCTCTTTTTCGTCCATGACTGAAATAAACAAAGTATCATAGATTTTGTATTTTGTATTGATGTTCATTTTTATAACTTTAGCATAAGTTTAATTCATAGCATTGGTATTTGCAAACAAATCAATAAAAAAAAAACTACTCGTACGCTTTATGTTCTCTGTGCCAATATAAATTTAGATATATCAATGAGAAATAAGAGTTATCTCTTTAATGAAGTTTGTTCTAATATGTATGTTAATAATAGGAATAAAATACACATGTCTTACTTGCTTATAGCCTCATCCTTATTTTTATAGCACCAAAGCACTGTTGGTCTTGACTTTACACTTGATTTAACAAGCATATCATATAAAATAGGCACCTAGAAAAAAAAAATTGTTACTACTCTCAGTTGATCATCAGAATAATATGCATGGATGAGTTGAGAGTTTTATTTTTTGGGTATGGAGGTACTAAGGAATCATCTCAAGTACGTATTTTTATTTTCATTGCTCTCTATCTGTTCATGAAGTTTTATTACAGTTATTTCAGCCATTCCGAAGTTTAGCCCAGTCAGACAGACACACAGACAAAAAATTTTAAAATGATTATTCATGTCTTAATGACATGTAAATACTACTTAATAATTTATTACAATTGGATTTCATAGGTTTTAAGTTTTTTGTGTGGAACCCTAATTCTTTTTCTAAAATAAAAGTAGACTAAGTTACCACCGTAGTAACCACTGGTGAAAATATATATATATATATATATATATATATATATATATATAATTTGAAATTTTTCAATAATATTTGCCATTTTATGTTTTCAGAGTTGTCAGCACCTCAATTAGTTCTGTACAATCGATTGTATCTTTATAAATTTTTCCATAAAAAAATCCAAAATTAAGTTGAAATATATATATATATATATATATATATATATATATATATATATATATTACTAAACTAAACATATTGTGTGTATTGTTTAATGTTGTCAACTTTAAATTTTACTTCAGAAAATATAAGACAAAAACATAATCCGCTGCCAAAATGTAACATCAGCTATTTGCCAGTGAAAGTTCTGTCAAAATCGGTCCAGTCACTATGGAGATTAGCCGGAACAAACAGACCGACAGACAGATAAAAATTTTAAAAATTGTGTTTTTATTATAAGTACCTTATATACTTTCATATGCATTTAGTAAAAAGCTGTTATTTTGACATTACAAACAGAAACTTCAATTTTATTTCTTTGTAAAGATTATTTATAATCTATATAGCATACAAAAGTTTCTGTTCCTATTTATGTTTCTGTTACTATAAGCCCATACACTAGTCATAAGGTGTTAGAGAGTTACCAGTTTTATAATTTGGTAAAAATCTACAGTTAAGTTTAAAGTAGACTGTTTAGGGTTACACCTGGAAGACACCTACACAATATGTAAAAACCACCCTGTCCAATCAGAAGGGACAAAAAAATTAAAACATCATAGTAATCTATATACAAATAAATATAATTGAAGTGTCTGTTTGTAATGTCAAAATTACAGCGTTTTACAAAATGCATATGAAAGTATATACATTATTTATAACAAAAACACAATTTTAATATTTTTGTCTGTCTGTCTGTTTGTTCTGGATAATCTTGGAAAGGGCTGGACCGATTTTAACAGTACTTTCACTGGCAGATTTCATAAGGAGTAAGTTAGGCTACTTTTATTTTAGAAAAAGAATTAGGGTTCCGCGAAAAAACATAAAAACCCTAACACCCGAGTGAAGTCGCGGGGAACAGCTACTTACTAATAAATATGAAAATGTTATTTTTATTTAAAGTACATGTTTTTAATACAATTTGTAATGTATATTATATTATCCAGACCTGTGATCTGGGTGGCAATGCATCTGCATTTTGATTCTTAATCGAGGATAGATGTTTGGCACAGCATCCGCATTCCAACAGGTGGAATGTACGCTTGTCATCTTTACTTCATTAAAAAAAAACAGAACACAATTTTAATGAGAGAATGAGGCTCTGGCAACCAAATGAATGTAAATTTATGAAAAAATACCAAATCTCAATTCTACAGACTGGTGATGAGTAGCAGCATCGCTCGAGCGATGTTGTCTACTTTGCGCTCGCCAAACAAGCATGGTAAAACTTTCAAAGAATGCAGTTAAAATTGCCCATTCATAAAAGTCTTAAAAGGTTACATCCATCATTAGATAAAGAAAAGCTGAATAAGACAAAATAAATAGAAAATATTATATCAAATTTAAAAAAATTACCTGATCTCTACTCTTATCTCCTACAAGTAGAAACATGGTACGGTGTCCTAGTTTAACACCATTCTCTATCATGACACGTATGCGATTATCAATTTTCTTCTTCACCATATTTTCGATTTTTACGACAACCCAAAAATAAATAAAAATAATAACCTACAAGTACAACAAACCGCACGTTTATCATATATCGTAACACATTTATTTGACGTTGACGTTGACAGTTGATACTTGACTTGACGGTTGACATTAAAGGTGTACGTTCCTAAAGTTAAAGTTTTCCTAAACATATGCAAATACTTGTGTATATTGTATGTGATTTTATTAACAATAACGTAAAACTGCAATACAATTTGTAGAGATACACAACAACGCCATGTTCAAATATCAATCGAGAACGGACATTGCAAAAATTTGGAAATTTCTCGTATCACAATAATTCGTTCGATCTCGTATCACGGTAATTCCAAAACGGAATCCTGAAACAGAATTCCTTATGTATTGAACCGGCCTTAAGGTTGGAAAATCTAAAGAATCCACTATTTCGAATGAAGACGTTGATATTGAATCACTTAATTAACATTTGTCATGTACCTCTTTTTTTTTAATGATAATATAAAATCATATACTTTAAATAATCTGTCCAAAGCATCAACTCGTGATTTCGCGCCGTTCAGCTTCAATCAATTTTCCGACTGTGATGTTATGGAGAACGTTTTGTCCATATCGTCAAGTGTTATCGGATGTGACGAAATTTGCCGAAAATAATCATCTCCCCGATTAATATTGTTCTCTCCATCATAACTCATATTTTCAATTACTCCATATCCTCTGAATCCTTTCCTCGAATTTGGAAAGAAGCTAAAATCATTCCTCTTCCTAAAAAAAAGAACCCCTGTTCTCCCTTAGATTATCGACCTATATCTATCCTTCCATTCTTGCAAAAGTCTTTGAATGTTTAGTCATTGCACAACTTAACCACTTCCTAAATAAAAACTCCCTTCTTGACTCCTTTCAATCGGGGTTCAGACTTGATCATAGTAAGGTTACAGCTTTACTTAAAATCATAGATAATATTCGCTAGGGTTTGGTCTATACCAAAAGCAGCTCACTATGCTTACGTTGCTGCATTTCAGTAACGCTTTTAGCACCGTCAATTTTGACGTATTGCTGAGTCTGCTACGTTCTATTAACATATCTCCAGAGGCAATTGAATAGTTTCAAAGCTAATTGCGTGGACGCTGGTAGCGTGTTATGGTAGAAGATGCCACATCTACGTGGTGTGAACTAACTACTCTCCTTTTTTCAGTATTTATTTATTCTATTACTTCACGAATTTCTTCTCTCTCTGAATTTACTCCCATACAAAAAAAAAACATCACTCCAGAATCTTACCAATGCCATCAATGATACTGATACGAATCTTGCTGCAATACTTGATTGTAGCAGATCGTTCGGGTTTAACTTAAATTACAAAAAGACCCAAGCCCTTATTGTTGGAAACAGCACTTTAATCTCTAAAATTTGTTAACCTTCCACCTATTATTATTGATGGTGTTGTGATACCTTTTAGTAAAATCTGTAAAAGACCTAGGATTATATATTGATCAGAATCTTTCATGGTCCCTGCATATTAAGCAGTCCAGTAGAAAGATGTTTGCGGCAGCATCTTATTTACGGCGTTTGCGTAACTCGCTTCCCATTCCTACTAGAATTTTACTGGAACAGTCCTTGTTACTCCCTATCCTTGACTATGCTGATGCATGCTACTTCAATCTTACTAACGCTAACGATTGTAGTTTTAAAACCTGTTATTTATTTAACAGCTTTTTCAACCTGTTGACCATTAATGATTAACAGTTAAATTACATTAACTAAAAAACCGTCACTGACCCATGCCTAGTGACGACCTGTCATTCAAATTAGTCACAGTCATGAGATTTGCTATCCTTTTCTATCTTGCTATATAGAATTTTCTTCTCCCTTGCACGCTATAGCCGTCTACCACTAATCTAAGTTTATGATTTGTTAGGTACAACTGTGGAATTATTTCACAAGCAAAATAATTAATTTCGCGGAACTCTGGATACTACTACAGACTATTACAGAATCTAAGGGTTTACCACTAGGAATCTCTATACTAAGCTTCGATTCGTTTCGCTTGTGGTGTAACGACTGCATCACCACAAGCATATCAACAGTCCGCTGCCTAGTATAGGCCTCCCCACAAATTGCCTCATAATAAATATTTTCCATAGTTGCCAAGTCTGGCAGGCGGGATCGCAACCATAGTTTATTTTAAATTTTAGAGTTTTCATATTTTTTAAATAGCCTTTGTTGAGTTGTCGAGGCAAAAGGCTCAGACAATCTGATTTTCCAACACTGAATAACAATATATTTATTACACATTAAGGTAGCAATATAATAATAATAATCATCATTTATTTCAGGCAATATTCACATTACATGATGTTAATTAATGTAAACAGAAGCACATAGATAAATACCTTATTGACTAATATACATATTTATTATAAAAATTTATTTTAACCATGAACTCATCATGACCATCACCCTGAGCAAGCTACTGAAGGAATTTCTTTGTGGAAATTAAAAAAAAATTGACTTCCCTTACAAAATTGGTTACGTGATATTGGCGGGTAGAAGGAAAAGGGGAGATCTCCCACCGGGCAAGGTGTTCTGCCCGGGGAGCGGCCAACGCTCCGATTGGTAGTTCGGAGCTATTCTATATATGCTGGTTTCACTTCGGAAGTTTGTTAGCGCGATTTAGGCTTCGATGTGTTTTCGCTTGTGGCGCGACGACAGCGCCACCACATCATGCTCCTGCTCAGACCGGAGGTCGATAGTGCAGTCTAGATGTCGACGAATTTGGAAGTGCCAGGGAATTGCTTTGTAGTCTGCGGTGAGTCGAGAAGAAGGCAAGTAATCTGCGAGAGTGCCGTGAAGCAGAGGCGAGCAGTAAGGCTTAGAGCCGTGCCGAACACTGTAGCGCAGAGAGTAGCTTGAGGGAACAGGAAGCATTATTATTCCAGTGCTGCGATGAACCTTTGTAAAGCTAGATGGCTTGCAGAATGTGAAGACTGCAGACAATATCTGCTCGGGAGCGAATAAATGGGGTACTTGAGGATGATGACGAAGGTTTTGAAGTTGTAGTTTCCGAAGGTTGTTGGTTGTGTGTTTATATCACGTCGGTCGGTCACCAATGTAGCCGGTGGAAGGAAAAGGGGAGATCTCCCACCGGGCAAGGTGTTTTGCCCGGGGAGCGGCCAACGCTCCGATTGGTAGTTCGGAGCTATTCTATATATGCTGGTTTAACTTCGGAACTTTGTTAGCGCGATTTAGGCTTCGATGTGTTTTCGCTTGTGGCGCGACGACAGCGCCGCCACATCACCCTCCTGCTCAGACCGGAAGTCGATAGTGCAGTCTAGATGTCGACGAATTTGCAAGTGCCAGGGAATTGCTTTGTAGTCTGCGGTGAGTCGAGAAGAAGGCAAGTAATCTGCGAGGGTGCCGTGAAGCAGAGTCGAGCAGTAAGGCTTAGAGCCGTGCCAAACACTGTAGCGCAGAGAGTAGCTTGAGGGAACAGGAAGCATTATTATTCCAGTGCTGCGATGAACCTTTGTAAAGCTAGATGGCTTGCAGAATGTGAAGACTGCAGACAATATCTGCTCGGGAGCGAATGAATGGGGTACTTGAGGATGATGACGAAGGTTTTGAAGTTGTAGTTTCCGAAGGTTGTTGGTTGTGTGTTCATATCACGTCGGTTGGTCACCAATGTAGCCGGTGGAAGGAAAAGGGGAGATGTCCCATCAGGCAAGGTGTTCTGCCCGGGGAGTGGCCAACGTTCCAATTGGTAGTTCGGAGCTATTCTATATATGCTGGTTTAACTTCCAAACTTGTGTTTGTGTTTTCGCTTGTGGCGCGACGACAGCGCCGCCACATGACCGATAAAATTTTGTATGGGAAATTGAATTTTTTTTTCCCTTTTGGACAAAAATTATCTTAAATATTGCTCAGGATGATGATATGAGATCATGGTTAAAGTTTTGTATATTGAGCCCATTCACTCGTTTATTCGTTTATTGACAAAACAAGTACACGATTAAATAATATTAATCAATAAACTTCCGCCCGCAGCGTCGTCCTTATGAATTTTTCTAATATCATGCATTTCAATGAAACTACTATTTTCAATTAAATAAAATTTTTATAAGTGAATATAATAAAAATAATCTGATTTTTCACTATAATATCCCAAATTCTTATATTTTGTGTTCACCCTAATTAGACATCAGCAGTGGTAGAGCCACGCGGCAGCTTTTGTTGTCGCACGGATGGGCCGGCTCGAACCGGGGTGGTACCACGACCTCACAGAATACCAGCGTGAAGTAGGGGTTTACCTCAGCGTTTCGTTTGGTGAGTGCAGGTGGCCGGAGGCCCTTTTTACTGGAAATGAGGCATTCCATCTTGGTCCTCGCGGGTGACAACGCATCTGCATTTTGATTCGCAAGCGAGGATGGATGTAGATGTCTATGGGCCGCAGCAGCCACTTGCCATCAGGTGGACTGTGTGCTCGTTTGTCACCCTTATCCTATAAAAAAAATACCCTAATTAGAAAGAGACTGAGGGGTAATGAAAAATTTCAATGTCGTTTTCTTGTATTTTTTATGTCATTCGAGAGTGCGGGTTCCATTTTGTACGAAGTACATGTATTTCCATGCTTGCAGTATTCGTGTAGAATCTACTAGTTAGTCTGTGCTTGCAGTACGCGGCTCTTGTTGAGAACGGATTATAGTAATCCAGTTCGCAGTATGATCTCCCATCTCACTCGAAAAAATTCCTAGTTCACAACTATTGGCTGAAGTGTGTACATGTGAAGTGCTCATATTGCTATGTCGTTGATGTTATGCTACTACAAAACATAATCTTTAATAAAAAAGCCAATGTCCTTTTTTTCAAAACCTTATAACTCCGAAATTTCTTCACGGCTTGCTTTGAAGTATTGACAATTTGATTACGTATTTTATACACTTACCTATTGATTTTTTTTTACTCACAGCAACGCATAGCCAGGAAAAGCTAGCTGTCAA